TATATTCCTTTAATTATTATAGATCAATCATATTCCAAAAACCTACCATAATTAGGTCTAAAAGTATCAATGTTAGAATTATTGAGAGAAAATTAACGTGAAGAGGTTTCACCTAAAACTTATAGATTAAACTAAATTACAGAAGTTATTGAATTCTTAAAAGATTATGAAAATGGCATTTAGATATTAAAACCCTATAATTTAAATTGTGGTAGAAGCATTAAATTTATTAGCAATATAGCCAGATTTAAATTAGATCTTCACTAAAAAAGCTAATATTAAATTGTTGACTATTATAAAGTTTATGTAGAAAATGAAATCAAGATCATTTGAGAATCTAAGAAAATCTCGATACTTAAATATAATTAAAATATGATGATATCAATTCTATGTCCATTATAAAAAAAATATATTGAAAAACCCCTTTTACTCGATTCTAGAAAATTTAATATAAGATGCTATGCTTTAAATGCTAAAGTAAACCCTTACACTGTACTCTTTCATCATGGTTATGCTAGATTAAGTATTTTTGAGTACACTCTAGATGATGTTGAAAATGAATAAAATAAAATTATTCATCATACTAATAATGCCATTTAAAAAACTCATCCAAAACATAAAGAAAAAAAAGAATCTTTAATAGGGAATATGGATCATTTAGAATAATATTTGAATGATTTTTATCATTATTAACCAGATTAAATTGAATCAATTAGACAATAAATTAAATAAATTTCTCGAAGGTTATTCAAAAGCTGGATAAAAAAAGATCCAAGCCAGAGGACAATAAAGAGAATTAGAACTTTTTGGACTTGATTTTATTATAATGAAAAATTCAAAAATAACAACTCTCAACTCTCGACCCAATTCTCAAAGTTTATTTTTAGAAGCTTATATAAATCCTGATTTATTTACTGAAAATCCTAATCTAAAATAAATTATTTCTTCTGTTGTAGAATAAACTTTGGATATAGTCTTAGCTATCAATAACAATCAAGAGAATTAACTGGGAACATTTTAATAATTAATTATTGAATAATGATGCTTTCATAATTAGAATATATTGTATAAATTATAAAGCATAACTTCTTCTTTTTCTTTACTAATTTCTTTAAGAGACTAAAAATTTTGAAATATCCCCTGAGATTCCAAATAATATTCTCTTTAAGTATCTGATAACAAAGGAACAATATCATAAAGGGGAAATCTATAAATGATTATAACTTATGGATTTACAATTAATTAGTTAATCCATATTAAATTACTAAATCTAATTCTTCCTCCCTTTTTTATTAAGATAATTTGATGGCTAAATCTTTAATAAATTTTTCTTTATTTTCAACTACTGTTAACATGACTTAATCTATTAAATCTAACTAAATATTATAACTATGATTACAGTTAATTGAGTTTCATTTAAATTATGATCCAATTCTAAAGTCAAACGTTCATGTAAATCCATATTCAAATATTGTATTTAATCAATTGCATTTTTGGTAATAAACATTTAAGCAATTAATTTTTACATTTTCTAATCTAATTTACTTGCATTATCAACACATTTTTAAAAGTCATCAACTTATAAATTAATCTTTTAGAATATCATAAACTTATACACAAAACTCAAGTAAAGCATGCTTCAAATGAATAAATGAAATTTCTTGTGCTTAATTTATAACAATAAGCTTACTATCATGTATCATTAACTATTAAATTATTATTAATTCATTACTATTTTTAATTATCCATTAGGTCTGATCTATATTTCAGGATACTAACCATCTAGTTGATTCGCTTTTAAAAACTCACAACTTTACAGTTGATTTTAAGGTGGATCTAATTAAGCTAATGTTATTGTTATAGCAACTTAATTCACAACTACTATCATCTTAATTTAAGTCTATGTAACATAAAATAATAAATCTTCCCAAAAATAGCTATCTGTAAGTTGTTCGTGTTCAGTTAAAATAGGAATGTATTATCCATTTTATTTCATCAAAAGAGAAAATGTATTTTCATATTGAAATAATATAAAGGTCTCATTGATATTACTTATAACATTAAGTGGAGCTATAAATTAATTACCAATTGGTATTAATTCTTTATTCTAAAAAGAATAAAATTAACCATTTTTCAATTTTAGTTGTTTGATTTCCGTTTTTAGTCTCTAATCCTCAACATTAATTTCAGAATTTGTAACAATAAAATAGTAACTTAAAACTCCAAATACTTTTTCTGGTTAAGGTAAATTATTTATAGCCGCTTTTAAAAATATTGTTTATTTGGTTTGATCAAAGCCATAAATTTAAATTTGATAATTCACAATATTAGATGAATAATTATAAATTTTTCTTGAATAGGTTTTTTAATTAAAGAAGCCACTAGTTTATGATTCCACTTTTTCTTCAATAGTAACATTTTAATTTCTATCATTTAAAGGGACAGATATTATCAATTCTTCCTTATATTGATGCCATGCTATGGAATTTGCAATTCCAGTTGTAAGTTAATCTAATTCACTCAAAAAGTGCAAGGTTAACTTAAGATCACTTTCCATCATATCATAATTTAGATTTTTATTATTGATTGATAGAACTACAAATTACCCATTGTTATTATGAATAACAAAATGTTTTCCTGATAAGGATGTCAAAATTTTAGAATCTAAATAAAAAAATAAAATGGATACCGTCCCATGTGTAGGATGTTTAAAAAGTAAATATTTTATTTTATCTACTCATAACAGTCCACTCTTCTTTTTTATTTGTAAGTTCTTAGGTAAATTCAATTAATGTACAAACAACATTTTTACCACTTGTAGATAGATACATCAAATTAGATTAATCAGTCTATTTATTTTCAATTTCATATTATTTTAATCTTTCTTATGAAATATTGGTTATTTTCTTTAGTAATCCAGTATCATCAACAAACATTTTACTTTGATTTAAAGTTAATGAACAAAAAAAAGTATGATGAAAACAATACTTCTATAAAAATTCAGATGCTTATAATAAAAATAAGCCATGAGTAGTAGCAATACAAAGAAGATTTGATTTTAATCTATTGGTTGTTATAGTATTGATTTTAATTTATTTATCAACATCTGGAACATTTTTTAAATCTAAAAGTAAAACATAATCAAATTTCTTTTATTGTTTTCCTATTAAAAATAAAGCATAAATTTCAGATGATCTTGTATGGCCAATATATGTTTAAGAAGGAAAATTCGAATGACTAATGTGAACAAGTTCTTTAATTGGAATAGGAGGTTTGAATCTATTAATTTCCATGCCATTCAAAGAACTCCACAAAGTAATATAATTTTCTGTCACAGTAACTATTTAGAAATCATAAGGATCATATGCAATTGATAGGATTTCTTGTCCATTATTAGCAGTCATCAATTACTTACCTTTTTTTAACATCAAGAATTTGAAAGTTGGTTATTCATTAGCAGTATCAGCATTCCAACAAGCCATTGTTCCATCTAAACTACTAACAACAAGACGTGGTCTATCAAATTAGTTTTATTTATATGATAACATCTAATTAATCCCTTTCTAATGATATCCTTTCATTGTTTTAACAATTAGATTCTATTTCAAATCTATAATCTTTACTCCTTCTCCTCCTATTGCTATATATTAAGAATCTATAAATTCTAAACATTTATTTGAAACTCCAATAGCACCATTAGTTATTAAATCTGAATAATCAGAACAATATTTGTATGAATACAATTTATCAGATGTCAATATCATTATGCTATTCTAAAGTTATAAGGATTAATCATTAAAGAGTCTATAAATAATTTAGTTGTCATGAAATTTAAATTATTTTACTTCCTATACTCTATCTGGTTCGATTTATGAAACATTTATTGCTCTCAAACAAGTTTTTTTTTCATAATCCCAAATCTACAAAATTTGATTTGTTGTGTAAAGTAATAGAAAAGGTTATACCAAATGTACTTCCACATACCTTATTTTTATATTGGACTTTATGTCAAATAAAAATTAGAAATTTGGAATTAAATACATAAATTAATCAATACTTTTATTTTTCATCGCTTACCTGAAATAAACTATCTTCGCACACACTCTTTTTGCTTGCAAAATTCTAATCAAATGAATAATCAGGGTCTAATAAATTTTATTCAACTCTGTTATAAAATTGACTACTATGAATTGACAAGAATTCTGTAATTTTTGATGGCTTCATATTTTCATAAAATTACTGAAGGCTAGCCACTTCTCTATCTCTCTCCAACAATTAAAGTATTTCTAATTCTAAATAAGGACTTTTATATTTCAATTATAATATGTTTTTAATTTTTTCTTAAAATATTTGTAATGGTTTCACTTCTTAGAATGGTATAGTTTATACTTCTTTATTTTCTGTTTATTTTTGTTTTATTGGAATCGTCACAACCTCTTCAATAATCTTTGAACATTCTTTTTTTTACTCTTTCATAATCGTTGAAATTTCTTCCTTCAGATTTTGTTTTTTTATTGGAGTTTTATCTAGAATTGATTTTATAAATTTTAGTAAATTTATAATCATATTTGACTCTTTATTCGCTATCTTTAAAATATCAACCTTCATTGAATTGTCTAATTTTGAACAATAGTGAGCTACTTAAGTTAAAGTTTCAATCCGAGAAACCTTTGATGAATTTTTTTTAAATTATGGAATTTCAATTTCTGGAAAGTATCTTCTAAGTAAACATAAAAAATGTCTTCCATCTGACATACTTTCTATGTTACTTGCCTTCATTTATGGACATTTCTCATTTACCCATCTTAAAAGTTCTAATCTTATACTCATTTACTTCAAAAATTAATTATTAAATAATTATAATATATATTTAAATTTTTTTAACACAATCATTTTGTTCATAATCTAATAATTAATAAATGATTCAATTAAATAAAATTATTTTAATAATCTTCAATTTTGAATAATAATGCATTTTCAATACATCTAATTAGTTTTTAGGATTGTAGGAAAAGTTCATTTATAATTCTACATTACAAAAGACTTTAACAAATATATCTTTTTGTACATCTGATCCCCTAGAAATTTTTTTACATATATAAATCATAAATAGCAACTACAAGAGTCTTATATGGATTGATTATTAATTCAAATATTTAAAAAAATCTATTTTTCCTTCACTAACTTTACAGTTTGATTTTTATTTAAAGTAAAAATTTTAATCTTTATCTAATGTTGATCAATGTAGTAAATTTTACATTTAGCATTAACTCTAATTTTGCCTCTCTTCATTATTTCCAATTTTTCAAATTTTTTCTCCAAATCAGAAGTCTTCCTCTTGAAATTAATGAAAAGCTAGTAAATAATAAGCTTTATCATTTAGGGAATTTTTTTGAACTCTAGAAAATATTTGATTTTAAGACTTCAGATTTATTATTTTCTTCAAAAAAGACAATTTAAAAAAATTTGTTAGATTAAAAGATATTTGGTTCATAATTGAATTAAGTGCTTAATTTTTAATAACATAATTTTAGTACCTACGTCTTTACAATAGAGTTTAAAATTATTTTAATATATAAATTTATATTTATTTTTTTGCTTTCCTGTTTCAATTCGAATATCTGAATTTAATTGATCAAATATCTTTTACATTATAATTATATATCTTCTAAAAATTGATCTCATTTTTTAATTGCATTAAAATTTAACCTTTTTTTTGGTTAATTTTATAAAAGAAAATAAAAATGTATTTAATAGTAAAAATACCAAGGATAAATAAGAAATATATAATTTTTTTTTGAAATACATTTAAAGATATTTGATAAATTTAAAATAAATTAAATCTTATATATTCTAAAGTATTAATTAGATAAAAGTTGCATAGGCATTAAATACCATCAAATACTTTATTTAATGTGAATTATTTAATATTATTGTAATTTAAACAAGGATCTATTATTTTTCTTAAGTTATTTTCTAATGAAGAAATATAAAAATGTAAAATATTTTATTTTCTTTTCATTTTTTATGAGCATAAATATAATATCAAGAAATAAGGTATTTAATTAATGACTTAATAAATAGATAGTCTATTTTTTAAAAGCCAGTTATTTATAACAGAAATATGTGAACCACTAAATATTTTAGAATTTTTAGATGATTAAGTTAAGTAAAGTTTGAGTTATTCTTAAAAACCAGAAAATTTAGAATAATCAAATCAATGCAATATAAAAGACAATTAACATAAAAGTAGGCATTAATTTTAACAATCTAGTTTATAGTAATCAGAGAAATTAAATAAAACCCATATGGATCTGGATGGGCTAATAACATTCTAGAAAAATAATTCGGAGTTTACTTATCTTAAATATCACAAAAAAATAGGCCGAAGTGGATTATAAAAAAATTGAAACATGCTGAAAGTCACGATAATAAAAAATAAAAGAATTCGCGAAGGATTATTGTATTTAAAAATGCTTTACTTTAAGGATATAAAATCTGAAGAAAAATTAAAACGATAAAATGCTTTTAAATCAAATAATAGAAGAATTGATAAAATAGTTTAAGATTATCGACAATCCTTTAATGGGTTAAGACAACCTTTACCTAGCTGTAATGTCAATTTTTTTGTAAAATTGGATTAGTACAATTTATGATTATATTTTAATAAATTATGAATAAATCTATTATCAAATTTTTTCATTAAATATTCTCATCATGAATGTTATTTAGCATAAAATAATATATAAAACTTTATTTCAGATAATTTAAAGAATAATTTTTGGATTATTAAAGGTTATATATACAAAATGGTTAAAATGTTAATATCAACCTGAATATTAAGAAAAAATGGAATTTAAGAATGTAATTGGTAATTTTCAGAATATTAAGTTTTAATTTATAATTAAAATTCATTATATAGATGTAGTTGATCAGTATAGAACTTTTCTAAAAAGCAATTTTGGAGAATGAATTTCTTCATATTGATTTTAAAGAGTATTATCATCCTATAAATAATGTTCTTACTTTGAGACTAGAATCTACATACTTTGAATTGCTTTATGATGATTTTTTGGCATTTTCAATTATTCTATCATATTGTTTAACTCATTGAGATTCAGATTCGGATTCTACACAAATTCTATGACTTGCTTAGGACAATGAGCTAGATTATGAAATGGAAGGTAGGTTAAAGACATGTATTCGTTAAATATATATATTTATAAATTTATAAAAATGATCAAAGATTAAAGAAATTATTGTGTAAGTTTATTTTCACTAATTTAGGATATATGAGAACCATTTGGAAATTATTTTTCATTCAATCCCTTCGTAAAGAAATGAAAATTAAAAATTTATTTATAATGCCCATTTTAAGCTTTTAAATGAAATTTAGAAGGCTAAAAGTAATGCAAATTGTAGTGATTTAATAAATCAATATTAAAAGATTTATTATGCTGTTTCTAATTTTAATAAATATTTTATTAATATGTATATAAGTTAATACATAAAGTTGAAGTATATTATAATATAATAAAATCAAAATATTAATTGTTCTAAGCCAAGAAGTTGATTAATTTTATCTATAATTATCTCATCACAAAACTTTGATGGATCTTCTTCATTTTTCTAATCTAATTATTATAAAATATAGTACTAATGAATTATAAATTAAGATAAATTTATCAACACCTAATTATTCTTCAAGATCCATTCTCATCTTTTCAATTTAATCGGCAAGCGATTCTCCATAGAATTTTTACTCACTTTAATAATGTCTAATTTTAGTAGAATGATTTTCATTTTTGCAAATTTATCCAGAAATAAATTGTATCTTTTATAAATTGTATGTTTTTCTTTTTACAAAGTCGTTTCTTGCTTTTCTAATAATTCTATAATCTAATATTTGATTAATATTGAGTCTTTTCTATGGATCAGTATGTAAAATATCTTTTAATAATTGAATAAGTTCTTATGAATAACATGTAGGTACTGGTTAATATTTTCCACTAATAATTTTCAAAAGTAGTCCTTCCATAGCTAAAATTATTAATAAAGTATACTTTTTGCATCAAATGCATGTTTTAACGCCATCATTTCATATAGCATGCAACCTAAGCTCCAGATATCTGATTTGAAGTCATAAGGAATTCGTTAACACACTTCTGGACTAATATAATAAGGAGTCCCTATAGCTGTTTAACATAGATCCTCAGAATTAATCAATGATTTAGCAATTCCAAAATCTCCTAATTTAATCTCTCCTTTTGAAATAAAAATATTTTGAGTTTTAATATCTCTATGTATGATTCGCCTATCATGAATGTATTTGACAGCTAAACAAATTTATGTAAACCATTCAATAATTTGAGATTCTTTCAAATGATCCTGTTTTTATTTCTGCTATTCAAGTCTCTAATGTAAAGTTCCTTCCTCTGCATAATCCATCACAATACATAAATATTTACTAACTTAAGCAATTCAATTTACTTTTTATCAACAAAAGATTCTCGATATTCAATAATGCATGGATGATGTAAATTCTTTAAGACATCTATTTCATTTAGAGCATTTTCTTTTTCTTTCATGTCAAATTTAGAAGCATCTATTATCTATAATAGCCTTCAGATTACCTTCATTATATAAAATTTTCTATCTTATTTATTTTAAACCAATATAGCTTATCCATAACTACCTTTTCCCTTTAATTCTATCTTCCTATAGTGTTCCATTTATCTATTTTTAACTGTTAAATAATAAATAAAATTTAAGTCAATTAATTTATACATTATATCACATTTCAACTCTATTAATCTTGCTTTTTAATGTTTGCAGATAACCTATTATCACTACCAATAAATCAAACTAATAATCTATATTAATTTATTAATCACTTTAATTGCCAAATTTTCATAATTTATTAAATGGAAAATAAGCAATTAAATCTTCGACTTGAGATTACAATATAAGAATTTTATTCAGATTCTCCTCTTCCATTCTTCATTGCATTTCAAATTAAAACAAGTATGTAACATCTGATTCTTCAGATCGTGAAACAATCAGGACTAGTTCGTATGAAATATGCAAAGGTTAGAATCAAATTAATGAAACCCATTTCATTTCTTTTTAAGATCTCTTCACAGAATCAAACTAAAACAATTTAGAACTCTTTCTTCTTATGAATAATCAGGTTGCAGGACGTCTATGTTGTAATTTAACCTAATTAGTTAATTCTCAACTTGACCTTTAATCTCATAACGATTCACATATTGAAATTAAAGAAGAAGTAATATTAAATGGAAATGAAATCCTGAATCCTCAAGTCAAATTAAAACTAAAAGTCCTAAATCCAAATGAATAATTTTCATAAAGAACAACTATTAATATTGCAACTTCAGAAAATTAAATTGACTAAAACCTCATTGCATCTTAATTAAGAGTAGAACTTGATCACTGGAAATCTAAATACTCAAATCTTGCTCAAGAATTAGATTCTTTGGGTGATGAACTATTGTCTCTTTCAATTAAAGAAAAAACAAATCAATTTTGTTACTAAACTACGGAGATCAATTTATTTAGAAAAATAATGAAATCTAAGTTGCAGCATTTCCTTTAAATTCATGATAATTAAGTGGATTAAATTTATTTATTAAAAAAAGAATTAAATTCATATAGAACTAAATTATGCTGCTAGGTATTAATCTTCATTATTATTTAGTGTTCAACACCCTTATTAAAACATAGTTCTTAAAGTCTATCTGAAAAGATTCAATATTTATCTTCAATGATAGACAAGTAAATATTCAATTTATTTTAGAAAATAAACAGAATATATTTAATTAATAAAATCTTTAGAAATAGAGAAAGAATAATAAAAATGTTTACAAAATACCATTTAAATATTGAATTCATAGTAGTTGCTACTAAGACAAGCTTTGGCAAAATCAAAGAAATAAGTTGAAGACTTACTTAAGCTTTAAACTTAATAAGAACAAAAAAACGAATTATTAAATAAAGATATCATTTCTAAAACTTAAATCATGTTTTAATTAAATAAAAAATGTTTAGAATTAGAGAAATAAAATGTTAAAATAAACTCTGATACCACAGAGATCATTAAATTATACAAATAATGGAGTATGTCCATATTTAAATCTTTTGAAAAAGAGTCTTTTGAATAATAATAACTTTTTGATACATTAAATTAATTGAATACCTAATTAAAATTTTTTATAACTAAAGAATACTAAACTCCAGATTCTCAATAAATTAAAGAATGTCAATGCAAAATATAACAATATATTGAAGCTTACCATTCTTAAGTTGCTTAATTAGAGCAAATATTAAATCTAAATAAAATGAACTTATTTAAATCAAATTTAAATATGAATTTTTCCAAATTAGAAGATAAATTTTCTCTATAATTATCTTAAGAAAATACAAATGAGAATGAAATTTAATAAGCAGAAATGCTTAAATTTTAGAATTTTTAAATTGAATAATATATCTAAAATATTATTCAATAAAAAGATGAAGAAATAACAAAATTAAAGCAAAAAATAGGTGATATGCTAAATCTTGCTTTAGAATTAGGCAATTCAGTGTTAATCGAGCAAATGCAACTGACATTAATGTGAGCATTAGATTAGATGATTAAGAATGAAATTCTTATTTATTTTTTGAAATAAACTCCAAATAGCTCTTGAAAATAGTTTTACTATATAATTTCTAATCTAAATATTGCATTAAATTATGGCTATAATTAATGATTTACTTCTTATTTTATATTTAATTTTGAGCAATACCTATAACAAAATTCAATATATATATAAACAATCTCTAGAATCTTTATTTCAAAATAGTTTTTTAAAATTTCATTTCTATAAAATCATGAGGAAAAGTTGAAATTGAGAATAACTTAATTAAAATATAAATATTAATCAAAATTTTTAATAAGAAATTAAAATATTATAAAATAATTAAATATGGGTTATTAATTTATGATATAATATTTTTTCATTTTTTTATAAATGTATAATTTATAAAATCAATAACTAAATCTTATGGTTATTATTTAATAAATATTTCTTAAATTTATCTTATTATATTTTTCATCTGATATAAAATATTCACATATTATTTATCAAAGTCATTTTAACATGAATCTTTAATGAGATCATTTTAAAAAGATTTAAATAGATAGCAGAATAAAATAAAGTCTAAGAATTATTGTTATATAAAAAATTATAAAGTAAAAAATAATTTAAATAATTAGTTTATGGAAGTGTTTGGGTGAATATTGTGCATGTAGGATTCATTATAGACTCTGATTTGACTTTTTTTGGATTAGGCTTGCTGTTAGACTATAATATTTACAAAGTTAATTTAAATATGTTAATTGCTTTAATAGTATACTTTTTTTTTTTAATTTAACTGGAACAGCCTTATGATTAAAATACATTAAAAGAGAGAATTAAATATATTCATATAATCAGCATAAGCAAAGCACAACAATTTATGGTGAAATGCCTTTAAACTATTTTATCTTCTCAAGTTAAAAAATTAAGATCAGTAATTTTTCTGAGATAAGAAAACAAAAATAGTTAAGAGAAACTTTTCATAGGATTTTAATGAAGAGTTAACAAAAAAAAAATTAGATTTATTATTATCATCACCTCGTTTAAAATTAGAAGTAATTTATAGTATGGGTTCAAATTATCAAGCAGATGATAAAAAAAAATAAAATTTTTATGCCTTGTTTGTAACGAAAAAGAAAGAAATAAGATAAATTAGCCTTGTGGTTCTTGAGGATGTTGCTTTGAATGCTCATAATAATTATTATAAAGATTAATTATTATATTGTGTCCAAAACCTGTGATTATGAATTTATTTTCTTATTTAATACAATTCACCTATTATTGAAAATATTATAATTAGTGAAATTAAATTACCTATTCTAAATATCTCTTTCTAAACAAGTCTGTTTTGAACTTATATTGCAAGAAATATAGATATTAAAAGAGTAATTATTCAGAAATCGAAATATAAATAATTATTAAATTATTAATTTATTGTTCTGAATTTAATTTATATAATTATTTCTGTCACAAAAAAAGATGTTTGCTCAATGTTTTAGTCTTAAAATAGAAAAAATTTGGAAATTTAACAAGAAAAATTTAAAACAACTTTTATGAGATGTTTAGACACTATTGACAAAAAAATTTGAATGAAATATTGATTTAATTAGGATATTCATAAAATATAAAAAAAAATAGAAAACTTATTTTTTTTATAATTTAAGGAAAGTGATTTTATGATTTGATTATAGCTTAATATTATATAAAAGATTCATATAATTTAAAATATTCAAAATTTGACTTCTTCTTCAACATCTTTTGCAAATTCAAATTTTAAATCTTTGTAAAATTAAGTCAAATGAACATTAGTGATGGCTACACTATTTGAAATAGATTTAGGTTAACTTGGTAGAAGAGGAATAACTTAAAGTATTCTGGCTTTTAAAGCATTTAAATATTATAATATTGGAGTCGTTATTGGGTCTATATTTTCAGAAGTATCAGCAGTAAGAGCTAAAACTCTAATTCGATCATAATAATAGTCATTTCCCCACCACAATTCAGTCTCATCATCAAAATTTTTATCCATTAAGCAATTAAGAATGACAGAGGTTTCTACAAGTAACTATTATAATAAATTTGATAAATAGTACTTAAATGGTTTCTTTGATGATTAAGTCTGAATTTTTAGGAGTATGACTTTTAGAATTAATATAGTTTATGTATTCATTTTTGTAATATTCTAACACTTTTGATTTAATTTTTAAAGCCTTCTCAGTGTAGTTATTATAAGATCTTAATATCAACTAAGCTTTGCCTTCAATTCTTTCTGCCAAAATATCGCATGAATCAACATAGATTTAATTTTTTGCTATTTATTCTGTTAAATATTCTTTGACTGGTTTAGTTCGCATCAAATTAGCTAACGATTGGCTTTCTACAAAATTGATGGCTTCCTTTGTAGTACTGAGAGTTTAAGGAGCACTCAATGATTATTTAATTTCAAGGGCTTTAATTGGTTTTTTCTCTTTTTATTTAGCACACTAAAGACCCATTCAATAAAGTATTGTTATTATTAATAATTTTAAAATCAAATTTAGCCCATGTAGTCCCAAAGATTATCTTAATCACTATAGCCTGGAATACAAAACTCTTGTAGATTATTCAGAAAGTTTTCTTATGATGTTTTGAAAGGAGAAAAAATTTTATCTATAGTTAATCTAAATGCGTCATCTAGATTAATTTAAATACTACTTAACATACGAGGAATCAATTTCTATAATAATGGACTACTCTCTTCAATACATGGATTTGTATTTATTTCAATTAACCATATTTTTCCATTATTATCGATCATAAAATCATATCCAAAAATTTCAAATTGAAAATCCTTGTTATCTAAAATAAATTTAATAAATCAACTGTTTTGCAATTTAGAACTAGCACAGAAAATTGTTTAATGAATAAGTTCTTTCATTTTTGATACAATCCCTACTGAAGTTATTATGGTGTTTTTTTATGATGTTAAATACTATTAGAAGTCTAGTAAACTTAATTAATTTCCTAATTCGTATTTACAATAATGAGGATGGTTTTTTTGAATGGCATTATTAGTCAAATGTATATATAATGACTTTAGATTATTAATATCAAAAAACTCAGTGGCTAATCGCAAATAACTAAATTAATATTAACATATCTACCCTTCCTTAAAAAAATAATATTTGCTAGTGTGATCAATTAAAACCCAAACTCGAAAATCAAATTTCCTTCCATTATACAAAAGAGGCGTTTCAAGATACTTTTATAAAACAATTACTCTATCTTAACTTGTAGTTTAATTTATTGTAAACTCTATTTAAGCTTATCCAGTAACTAAAAAAATGAATCTTTGTTTTACTTTCATTAACTTCTGGATAAATTATAGTTAAAATTTTAGCAGTTTTAGATATTGTCTTAGTTTCATTGTTAACATTCTTTGTTTTACAAAATTCAATTATTTAATTGACCAAGATTTTTAAATCAGAGAAGAGTTAAATCCCTCTGCCTCTATTTAAATCAGGTGGTTTGAGTAACCAAATATTTTTTTAGAGTTTGTCTTTTTTAATTTCAATGAAATAATCGACAAATCTTTTTAAATCATTTTGCAATGTTGTTGAATCCAAATTGATTATGAAAGTTACAGGTACAAAATCATCCATTTTCTTATTTGTTCTTTAACAAAATGTTTTTAAATTTGCATGTAATTTGTTTTTATTAGAAATTTCATGATGATGCTCCAAATGGTTTATACAAATACTCTTTGATGTTAGAGTTGAATAATTAAAGCCTTTATTTGATTGTCTCCAAATAAAATTCACACTTGAAATATTTATTGATTAGCGTACTTATAACTTGTTGATTATTCACCAAACCATCCTCTACCTTGTAAAATTCTCCTCACCAAATTACCATTATTTCCATTTTCACAAAAAAACTATCTTTTTTTATGTTATACATTACAATATATTAAGTTGTAAAAACATTTTTATAAAAAGCTGGTTTTATAATCCTTTAAAATGAGGATAAAGGTCTTCTTTGATCTACCTCTGTACTTTACTTTTTCTTTTCAACAGATTTTTTTCCTTTAAAAAAAGTGCTGTTAAACAATCCTATCTTACTCAATCCTTCTGGTGTGTGTTGACGAGGTATTTTTGGACTTTATTTTAATTGAATAGAATCCAATCTTCATTATTATTTACAATACCTACTTTCCTTTACCTTTATGGCTTACAAAAACATTAGATTATATATTATATTATAAATATATTACTGGTGCCAAAAATAAAATTTTTCTAGTATATTTGAAAAGGTCAAACTATATCCTACAATTAGGAATGGATATATTAAATGATGATAATTAGATTAGATTTTCTATGAGTATATAATNTTAAATTTTTTTATTTCTTAAATTCAATTTTTATTTTTTGAAATAAAAAATATAAAATTATATACTCATAGAAAATCTAATCTAATTATCATCATTTAATATATCCATTCCTAATTGTAGGATATAGTTTGACCTTTTCAAATATACTAGAAAAATTTTATTTTTGGCACCAGTAATAACATAATGTATTTCATATACTCATTTGATCTAAATTAGAATATATCCTTCATCAAATTTTCTTTGGCCTCTAAAAATTTTTAGTCTTTCCTTACAATTTTTAATCATTTCCCATTAGTTTTAATAATAGAAGATTTTATAATAAAATAATTCTTAGGTATATTTATCCTCAATCTAATTTTTGTTTCAGAGAATTAAGAAATTTCAAATGTATAATAAAATTTATTCTTTCGGCTGTTCAACTCATCTGACTTTCTTCGCAATCATTTTATTCTTTATTCAAATAACCATCTAAAAACCTTGCTCAAATTAGTAAGGAATAACAAAAAGTCTTTTCAGATTCCATATCAAATTCTATTCCAACTTTTTAGAGTAACTTCAAATTTTCTTTTATCTTTTTTAGAAATTAATCTAGAATATGATAATGATATAAAATAATAGAAAAATGTAAAATTTAATTTTTTAGAAAATACGAAAAGTTAGTTAAAATTTGCTTATATTAAAAATATACTAAAACTTATTCACAAATCGGTTTATGATTCATTTTATTGAAGATCATTAAGATCATTATCTAATAAAATATCTTAATGATTTTTTTATTCCTCTTAAATATCATTATTAAAATCATAAGTTTATTAATTATCTTAACCATCCTAAATATTATTCTTTTGATGATTAGCAAGATCTTCTTCTGCTTATTTGATCAATTCATTCAAATCTGGTATAGCTCTTCTAAATGATGGTTCCTAAAATGATTTCTAATTATACTTATTTGCCCTCTAATTTATCTTTGCCCCATTCAAGAATATCATCTATAGTTTATTCACTTGCTTCTTAAAATCCTGTTATATATGAAGGTTCTTAAACAATAATATATATTAAGAAAATGAATGCAAAAATTCCAATTAATCTCAAAGAAATTTCTAACTTTCCATCTGAATATCTATAATTTGAATATAAAGGCTTGAATGATCCTAAAATTCCATATGACTATAGTTATCAATATAATAATCTACATCATTATTTAGATTTGGGAGTATCCAAAAACCATGGCCCAATAATCTTGATATTATATAGACAATCAATCTAATTACTTGAAGGGCGACCAGAAATACAAGAAGATATAATGTAACTTTGAAGACTCCATATTTAAATGCAAACGGCCATATTGGATAGAGGAAAGCAAGAAATACTAATAGTAGAATGCCTGCCATAATGAGATTATTCATTTTGCTCTTGACTACTAAATTCCATGTATAAAATCCTTCATTTGTAAAGGTTTAGTCCTTTGAATATGACTAAATATATAAACCTTGGTGTCAAAGACTTTTCTTGGCCATTTCTTTTTAGGGTCATCTCCAAGTCTGTCGATTTTGACAATGATACGATTTTCATTTAGATATTTAGCAATTGATATAGCATCTTTCTTTTTTTCAGGTAGAAGATTCTTTATATCCTCAAAATAAGTTGTTGTAAATTTAATGAAATCTTCTCCCTTGAAAATTTATATCTTCTTCTGATATTTGAAATTTGCATCCTTTTGCTGAATTGCATCTTTATGCTTATGATAAAAATTATAAAGAGGGTATAGTTGTTTTTCAAAGGCTTTTCTCTCCTCAGTCATTTACGTGTATAAATATTAAATTAATATATCATGTCTTTTTTTTGAGGGATTTCTGCTGGAGTTGTTACAATTATTGTTGCAAAAACTATTACTATTAATGAAATTTTGAATCTTGACCTTAGAAATTATTATAAATTTATGCCACTATATTGGATGCGCTTTTTTGACTTGTCAATTTTTAAGCAGGTTAGACAGTAGCCTAACTCTATGATTTCTTTAACTGCTATGATTATATTTGTTATTATCTAATAATTTATTGAATTTCTTCAATGTTGGATTTTTAAACTACCTGAGAACTATTCTAAGAATTATTATGATTTTCGACTTTTCCTGATTTTTAAAAGAATGAAGCAGATTATTATTGTTGTTCTCCTGAATTGATAAATTGATTACCATCTATCAATTCATCAGGATTCATTCCTAACTATTGTAAGTATTTCGCTTGCCACTTCTTTCTTTACTCTTTTTTTCTTCTATTAATATCATTGTATAAAGCTTCACGATATTCTTTAATCGAGAATTTCTTATTATCATTCATAGGTATTTTGATTGGTTCTTAACAAACAATTTCTTCTTCAGGAGACGAGAATTCTTTGACATACTTGTGTCTAATTGCTTAATCAACAGTTAATCTCATTTTTGGATTAAAAACCAATAACCTAAATTTAAAGGTTGATTTACCTTCTCAATAAATCTAAGCAATCATCACTAGCACTTTGAAAGAATTATTAAAAGGATTTCTTTTTAGTAATACTTACAGAAGATAAAATATGAGCAGCTAGAGGTGATTCTAATGCTTCAACATCTTAATCAGAGGGTTTTCCATTTAATTCTAAAATTCTTTCAATCTAATTAGCAGTAGAAGTTCCTGGAAAAATTGCCTTACCTGTCACAAGTTCTCCAAGTATACATCCTATACTCCACATATCAACTGCTTTAGTATAATTTGTAGATCCTAGTAGAATTTCAGGAGCTCTATACCATCTGGTGGCAACATATTCAGTCAAAATAGGTGGAGCTTTTGTATAGAATTTATAAATGTACTAGTATCTTCTTCATTTATTGCTATACTTCTAGCTAATCCAAAATCTGCTAATTTCATTTAACATTCTGAATTAAGTAAAATATTTGATGGTTTAAGATCTCTATGAATTAATTCACCAGAATGTATGTATTTGAGAGATTTCAAAATTTAATAAATAATAAATTTCTTATGCACTTCCTCTAAAATTCCAGCACGCTATTTAAGCAAAATAATAATACAATAACTGCATGCAAATCTGTTTCCATGTAATCAAACACCAAATAGATATCTTTATTATTTTCTGCTTTGATTATATTAAGAAGCCTAACGATGTTCTCGTGGCCATTTAATTCCTACAAAAACATAATCTCTCGAAAAGTTCTTTAAGCATCTGTTGCATTATGGAATGCATCAAAAACTTTTTTTAATGCAACAACCTTTTGGAAATTTAAAAATCAACTTCTTACCGTTTTTAATTTCTTATCAACTGCTTTCCACACTATGCCATACGCTCCTTTTCCTAATTTTTAAATTATTTCAAATTTTCTAGCTATGTGAGGCTCAATTTCCTCTGCCATTTATAATTTTATTATTATTATTTTATGTGCACTAAACTAAATATCGCTAATACTCATTCAAATGTAATGCTATATCTAAAATTAAGAGAAGGTGGTTGTGATAAAGTATAAGCCCGTTAATTTTGTAGAAAGAATTTTTGCAAAGTAAAGATAAATTTAATATATAAGATTGATTAAACTTAAAAATCAATTGGACCACCAGGACACAAAGTTCTTAAATTACATCCTAATCGGTTATAAGGAGAGAAAGGATGGTAACCAGGATTCATGATGAAATATGATCTAGGTAGTGGTTATAGAGACTGTAAAGGTATTGTATCAATAAAATAAATTAGATTTGATTGAAGAAACAACTCCAGCTGAAGATGCAATTCTGAAATAATATGAAAAATATGAAAAAAAGAAAAATGCTATACTTTTATAGAAAATGTTAGCTGTTAAAAATTATGCTGATTCTTTAAGACCTCCTAAAATAGATGTTTTTAGTAAAGATAGTATAGAAAGAATAAGAAAAATATCTTAGGAGTTACATGAAAATTAATAAAAGCCTAAATAATATTTTGAAAAAGGAGATATGAAATTTTATGCATTAGCTGATTATATTTCAACACATCGTTCAGGTTCATTAAATGATTTGAGAATAAATTTTGATCCTATTGTCAATACCTAAATAAAATTAAAAACTGAAAATTCTTAATATTTAAGTCCAAACAAAATCTTCAAAAGACAATCCACAATAAGCACTATAGAAAAAGGAGCTAATTTAATAATGGCCTTTTAAAACTAAACTCCGATTAATGAAGAATTGGATACAAAATCATCTAATTAAAATAATGAAGTGGCTTCCTCCCTTTTAAGATTTAATCATCACAAATTAGAATTGGCAGAAGAATTTAATTCATCTCAATATTTATTTACTCCATCTAGTGCTCATACAAGATAACCAAGTTAAATTGACTAAAATGATTAAGCAGTGAAGTGTTTCGTATAGTAATTTTATGATAAACAATATAATGATAAAGTTATTCCCTCAACTAAAAGGAATCTAAGATTAAGGATAGTAGCAAATAGTGGAATCGACAAAAAGGAGCCATCTAAATAAATAAAAAAGTAAGAAAAAAGATTAAGTATGTGAACTTATTATCTCACAGAAATGATTATTAAATTGAATTAATTATTTTTTGGAATTTAGAGATTCTTTAAATTTAGCATTTCTTCAATAACTTTTTTATTATTTTTTTATAAGTATAAACTCAAATGAACATCCTAAATAAAGCCACATTTGGAGGTGGATGCTTTTGGTGTATTGAAGCTATATACAGAAGAATTTAAGGAATAAGTGAAGTTTACTCTGGATATAGCGGAGGTGCATTAAAAAGCACTGCCAATTATAAAGATGTATGCAAAGGAAATACTGGTCATGCTGAAGTAGTCTAAGTTATTTTTGATCAGAATAAAGTCTAGTATAAAGATTTATTGTATATATTCTTTGCATCACATGATCCTACAACTTTGAATCGATAAGGTAATGATGAAGGAGAATAATATCGTTCTGTTATTTTTTATCATAGTGAATAGCAAAAAACAATTGCTAATGATCTTATTAAGGAATTACAAAAAGAATACAAGAATCCTATAGTGACTTAAATTATCTAATTTTAGGAATTCTATAAAGCCGAAGATTATCATTAGGGTTATTATGACAATAATTAAAATGAAGGATACTGTAGAGTTGTAATATCTCCTAAGATTGAAAAGATTATTAAGAAATATAAGACACAACTCAAACCAGAATTTTAATGATTTAAAATTTAATGTTTGTATTAATCATTATTCAGTATGTAAAACTATGAATTTGGAAATAACTGTTGAATGAACAGGAACTTGACAAGTGTACCTAGAAGCCAAATTATCTTAATAAATGATATCTCTCACACTCTGAATTCCATTGATTCCTAATTTATGAAATTCTATTCTAAAGATTCTGTAAACGAAGCTTGATAAAACATACTTTCAAATACTCTAAGAACATAGTTACTTTAGCAGCTCTTAATTTATTTGTAAAGACTTTCTTAACTCTACTGGCTTATACTTAAATTATCCTATTAAAAATATTTAATTTTATTACTTAATTAACAACAATAACCTTTAGATTTATTAAGATCCTTCTCGTATGTTGACTCATGTTTGTTATATCAAAACCAATAAGTAATAAGTAGGGGAGCCTTTTAAATTGCCCATAAAGATTCATGAGTTTACATTTCACCATACCAAACCTCTAACATATCTAGATGATTCCATTATCCTTTTCCAGTATATTATTCTGATTGAGTTTATTCCAAAATAGCTATTTCATACAAAATCACTATTCCCTTAAAAGAATAACAATGATCTGAAATATCTCTTTAGTTTTCCATGAATTTACTATTGAAGGTGCCCAAAAACCAATAACCAGCCTTTTCTTAAGTAGATTCACATATTGAAAAATAGATTTTTTGACTATTTCATCAAAAAAGCAGAAATAGGGGGATAGCTAAAACTTTGGGGATGTACCATATGTATGATAGTTATCATTCTTCAAATACTCAACATCTCATTCTGCATATGTTTCTAGGCCAAACAACACTTCATATCCTAATGAACTTGGCTTATCTTTGCATATTTAAATGCCCTTTTTTATAATAATATAATAAATACAACATCTGAATAAAATCCAAGTTAAATCCCTTAAAGTATACTGTTAATTATTTTTTATTTATAATAAACATTAATTTGATATAAATATTGAATGAATGCTAATCATCCTAAAATACTTGTACATTTAAACCATATTTGTTCCATGAATTCAAACTTATAAGAGGATTTATACCTCATCCATTATCTAATGAATTTAGCGTAATCAATATGACCAAAACATAAAAATATTTGTACTTAATTATATTTTAAAGGGTTTGAAAAAATATATTATCTATATAAATAAAGAGATCAGATATGTTCTTTTTCACTAGCTGGATTAATCATTTTAAATGATCCGTATGAAATCCCATTAATATTAAAAAAACTTTCTACATTATGATTAGAATTATTGGAAATTAATTCAAAGCATTCTTCTATCTAATATTCATCGTGTTTATTAATTTCTTGAAGTTGTTATTATAATATATGAAGATTTTGATTTTTTTTAGGATAGATTATATAAAAACCCTTAACATTTTACATCAGACAAGCCATTGTTGGTTGATCATTTAATATTTTTGTTTGTTTGAAATTCTTATTCTTTGATGAATATGTAATTTCACTTTGGAGTGTTTCAGTTCTTTTGAACTCGCACTTACAAGTTGAACCCATATTTAGTTTAACAACTTAATATTAAATCAAAATTTGAGATACGCAACAATTTATATAATAAATTTGAGATACATTTTTTTGGGATATAAAATTTTTAAGAAATAAATTATATTTAGATATGATTTAAAAATTTGAAGGAGATGTAGTAAATAAAATTTGAAATATTTTTTAATTGAATAGAAATGATAAAATGGCAAAAAAGAACAGAACAACGTTTATAGATATAATACTTATTTTTTCCAATCATTTCACTGTTGCATTTGCATAGAAATTTCTTCTGTTTGCAAATCTGTATCAACATCAGTCTTACAAATAGGACATAAGGTGCTCTTATGTAACCATTTATCAATGCATTCTTAATGAAAGTAGTGCCCTAGTGAATAATGAATCTATAATATTACAGCATGGCATAGTACGAACGATTTGATTTTCTTGATAATCTTCTAAACAAATCATACATTTAATGAGATTGTCATCATTTTAATGTTAATTAATAAATTCCATACTAATCTAACGAACAGGTAATAAATTTATTTATTCTTCTGAAGTTCGATTATTTCTAAGTGAAAGTAGAAGTTATTGATTTTCATTTAAGAGAATAAAGGTATTCAATAATCTATGAAGTGCTTCAATTTATTGTGCATGCTATCTATGAATTTCACTTCTTCTATTTGGAAGTAAATTTGGAAGCATTAATTGATCAATTTAACTGTTTTATTAAATTCTCTCTTATTACGAAGGGGACATAATATCAATATCAATTTAGGTTTAATTATGAACAACCAATCCTCTGTCTTCAATAATCTAAACTTAAAATTCAAAATCTGAAATTCTCAAGATCTATCCTCTCTCTAGAAATCTAGTTAAACCAGAAAAGTAAGGATTAATGATGGTTCTTCTTATAGCTTCCTTGATTCTATCTTTTTGAGATTGATAGGTAAAAAACTATACTGGACATTTTATGCAAATTAATTTAACATCTCTCAAATTCTGTACATTTGAAATACTCTCAATTATCTAATATGATTAGAATAAATATATTTACAGAGTTTCTATCAATTTTGCCTGATGCGTTATCACATTGCAAAACCAATAATTTTTGTGAGTTTATTTTAATGGTTGAATCTTAAATAATTTGGTTGTCTTTAGGATTTACATTCAAGTAAGACTTAATTTCATTATCTAATAATTGAGAAGGCTTCTATGATAAAATTTTAACACTCCTAGTAGTTTCTTAGATATAATATCCATAACAATAGATTTATGTTTATCTAGTAATAATGCCTCTATTAGGAAATCCACCAATTACTCGAAACTCAAAAGCTCCTATTTAAAATTTGATTCCTGATTCTAAGACTCTTTGGCGTACAGAAAAGAAAGGTAAAAGTACGTTATTAATTAATCTTTAAAAGTCTATCACATTATCTTTAATTAATGCTGCATCAAGTTTTGTTCTATATTAGGTATTAATTAAACCTATTAACATAGAAAGTGACACTTTATAGATGAGGGAACTGTAGCTCAATCATTTGAAAGGTCCTCTTGTCTTCAATTTATGTAGAATCTTGTCTTATCTATATCTAGCCATCGTTGACAGAAAACACTAATTTACACTAAAAACAATTAGTTATCCTCCCTAATTGATCATCGAATTGCTTGCTATGACACTTTGGACATTTGACTAGAAATTAAACTTCTTCTTAATTTCCTTATATATGATGGGCTGCAGTTGTGGCAGCTATATTCAAATATATTTATAAACTTACTCTTTTACAAATACTATAAATGCTCATTCACTGGTACCATATCTTATTATTATTGAGTTTAAGCTTAGCCCATTTAATTTGATAAAAATAATAATATTTTATAATAGTTCATCATTTCCTCTGTTATAAACAACTCTTAGATTATTTGTTATCATCATGCTCCTCTTCTTTAATACTCTAATTATTAAAGAATTAATTCTATTAAGTTTATGGTGCTAATCTTGCTTATTAAGCTTATTATGGATGAATTTGAGGCTGTTATATGTGAGGATAGTATGGACCCATGTTAATCTAATTATATTGATTGCTATTTTACTATAAATGTATTTGGAATTTAAGTTGGCAATATCACTGGGTATTATAATTGAGGACAATACTAATTTAGCATATCATTCCCATTATACATCCTCTAATTTTAAACTTCCAGAAGTTCTTTAAATGCCTATTTTATTCGATTTTAATAAAGTACATCCAAGAATTGTTGTTAAGGATCTGCCTCATTGTCTAATTAATTTTGGTTCATTATCAAATTTTGTAAAATTTATTTACATAAAATTCATAATAAACAACCAGTGAAATTATAAAAAATTACGATAATTATTATGTAATTAATCAGCTGCTTTCCCATTGAGCAAAAGTCCGATATTCCTATTAATCGATTTTCAGAATTAAGGTCTATTTGTCAAATAATTTTGTTATTCCATAAGATAAAATTGAGTTTGATGAATGGAAAACAAGATAATCAAATAAACTAATAAGAGTTATTAATATATTCAATTCCAATAGGACTGAATATCTACTATAATCAATGTCATATTGTCTTTTTTATAATTTGTGTTTTTCGATGATGCCTTTTCCAGAAGATATTAAGCCAATTAATCAATCTCTTTTTTATTCCAATTCTCAATCAAATTTTACAATTCTTCATTTTTAATAATCTAATATTTTATAGCATTTTATACATCCCAAAATCCATCAGAAGCTAAAATCAAATATTTATCTTTCTCTTGAATCTTGTGTATCATAATCTCAGGAATTGCAATTAGACCAGATTATCTATGTTTCTTATCTCCAAAAGCCCTTGTTACTGCAAGTTCTCCATTTATTCGTGGAATAGAACTATTTTAATTTTAATTATATATTTTACTGTCTATCCAAAATAGTAGCTATTTATTCTACTCTTTTGAATTCATCTTCTCTATTTAATTTATGTTCTAAATTTAATTTTTCTATTTTTTTATCTTCTGTGATCAAAACACATGCTGAATCTCCAAGATTCACTACATAAAGATCTTTATTATTATTGATAACACAAAGTGCTGTTGAACCCCCTAAATTCTGATTCTCGTCTTAACAATTCAAGATGTATTGATTCATTTTCTCAAAACTATTTATAATGGCTTTCTCTAAATTATCTTCGAAATCGCAATCCTACTATAAATATTCATGAAGTTAATTCTCAAGAATAACTGAAACAGAATGTCCTGCATGTCCATCATATACAGCATAAAAAAATTAATTTTTTTAGTTCTTATTGAGATTGGGAATTGCGACAAACTTCAATTAAAAGAATCAATATACTCTATCTTCCTAATATTTTCTGCCACATTTCAATTAGGCTACATCTGCTACTGTTTTACCATTATGCATAAATTACAAGGACTAATCACTAACTTTAATAAATATAATAAAACATTGGCTCATTGAAAAATATATCAGTTTAAAATTTCCACCCATCAGAGGAATGAGTGCTTTCAGGTTACACATCAGCCACCTTTACATCTAACTATAATTTAGGCTTTGGTTTCTTTTGATTATTAGTTTAAGTCAAGTTCATTATAGTAATTAAATTTATGTAAACGATTAATAATCCCAAAGAATAATCATAATGTCTTATTTTATTTAATCAATTCTTTTGTTCTAATGCAATGCCTTAGTTGAATCATATTTAATCTAAGTGATCTAAATATATCATATTGTATTTAATCCTCCTGTAGATTGGCATTTATAAATATTGGGATAATTAACAATTTTCATCAATCTTATCTCTAATAAATAATAATCTATATTAAATACTTATAATATATCATTATAATTTATATCATCTATATAATATATCATTACAAATTAGATTATTATCACTAACACAAATTGTCTATATACAATATCTATATTATGTAATAAATTAAAATATTAAATGAAAATCGTCATCCTTTTAGTTCTAGTGATGTCATCATTAGGAAGGCTTACATATAGAAATGGTTTATTTGGAAGAGAAGAGATTATATAGGCCAAAGCTACACAGTGGTTCACTTAGAAATTAGATCATAATGATCCAACATCAAAAGAAGTATTTAACTAAAGATTTCACATATATGATGATTATGTATAAGGAGGTTAACCAGAAGCAGTTATTTTGTACATTTGTGGTGAATGGACATGTAAGGCATAATAAAATTATAATAGGTGACGGAATAGCACAAGGATTAACATTTGATGCAGCATAATAATTAAAAGCAATAATACTTGTTTTAGAACATAGATATTTTGGTTAATCTTAACCATTTGAAGATTGGAGTACTCCAAACTTAAAATATCTGAATATTCATTAAGCTTTAGATGACATAGCTTATTTTATATAAAATATGAAAGTTTAAGGAAGATATAATATTAAACCAAGTACTCCATGGATTCATCTTGGAGGTTCATACCCAGGAGCATTAAGTGCTTGGTTTAGATATAAATATCCTCATTTAACAATTGGAGGTTTGGCTTCTTCAGCAGTTGTTAGAGCTGTTGCCTGTTATCATGAATACGATATGCAAGTTTATCTTTCTGCATTAGAAAGTTCATAAGAGTAAGAATAGTTTAAATAATGTTAGATGTGTAGATAGAATTTAACAAGTAAATTAAAAGATTGAGGATGATTTAATTAATGATCCTTAAACTCTTAAAACAATATTTAAAGCATAAGAATTAAAGGATATTGAATTCTTATCAATGATTGCTGATATTTATGCTGGAATGGTTTAAGGTAGAAAAAGATCAAAGATGTGTGAGAGATTAGAGAGAGGAAATGATATATAGGAATGGTTTGATGAAGTAGTTCTTATGGCAAAAGAAACAGTGAATCAAGAAAGTTATGGATCTGAGTTTTTGAGGAATACTACTATAGATTTTTCTAAAAATTCAAGATAATGGACTTATTAAACTTGTATTGAAGTAGGTTACTTTTAAACAGCAAATGTAATAATGAAATATTAATTTAAAGCCAAATCCTGAACAATCAACTAGATCTTAATAATTAGTTCTTGATTTCTTTAGATAATTATGTGAATATTCTTATGGTATTCCAATCTTTCCAGATGAAGATAGAACTAATGCATATTTCGGTGGACTTGATATTAATGTAGATCATCTTATTTTTTCGAATGGATCTGATGATCCTTGGTAACATGCTTCAATTACTAAATGGAAATAAGGAAAAGATTATGATGTCAAATACATCAAATGTTAAGATTGTTCGCATTGTGTTGATCTTAAAGCATCCTCTCCTTAAGATCCACCTGAATTAACTTAAGCCAGACAAGAAATTCTAGCTATATTTTAGTAATGGATTAATGAATACAAAGAATAATAAGCCTACATAATTGAGTGAACATATCATCTAAAATATATATATATAACATAGTAATAATGTAATCAATAAGGCATAAAATGGCCTCTTTAGTGATGGCAACATTACTAAGTTTATCTTCTAAATTATCTTTACATCATTCTCATTTATAAGAATTCTTCCCATAACTATTCTAATTCACAAGGACAGGGTTAATAAGGTTAATGATAAAACATTTGAGGTTCTTCTTATCGATATTGCTATCTTAGAGGTGATGTACATAGAGATTTATTTTGGGACTATTATTGAGGTGATTTTTATTATTGCCATGAACTCATTCTTTTGTGCCCTGTCTATTATTCAAATTATTTTTATGGTTATTAGATCATTTAATTAAAATGTTTATTTTTGTCTTCTTCTACAAAGCGGGAGTTTTCCTATATGTAGATTTAGCTTTATGCTAATTGAGCAGCAAATTAAGGATTCTATTCTTCAACACTCATTATTGAACTTTATGGTGGGAATCTCGCAAATGAATGGCTAAGTTAAGATGGATTTATCGAAGACCCTTAGGTATAAGAGATCCCCATAAATTGATAATTGTTATTCATTTGATTAAAAATATATATAATCTAAAAATTAAAATGAATACAGAATATTAAGAATAAGAATTTGATTAGAAGAGGCAATCTGAATTAATTAAAGAAGATAATAGTACTTAATTATTCTCAATTATTTTTGCAATAATTTACAATTGTTTTTGGGGATTACTATTTTGTTTTTTTAGGCATCGTAATAGTAAAAATATTAAATTTTAATCAAGAGATGGAGAAAAATGTATAACCTTGAGCTTTTGGTCATTATTGACAGAGATATATTTCTTCTCAGTAGCCCTCTATAAAATGTACATTTAATATTTCTAGATAGAGCGATAGAATTACCTGTGTATCATAGAGCATTAGGAAGATGGAAAGAGAAGCTATTTTCGATAGCAGAAAAAGTAGAGTTTATTTTAAGTATCATCATACTGATAGGATTGAGTGTAACTTGGAATTGATATATCTAGTATGCATATTTCAAATTTGAAGAGTGTAATGGATTAAGAAACTTTGTCTTATTTTATTTGATTGTAACTTACGTAGTTTTAGGTATATATTTGATTTCTATGGCTTTATTAATAACTAATAAAAGTAATAATTCTGGATGAGAAAAAAATAAAAAAATGATTTATTATCAAAAAATCAAATAAACAAAATCATTTTCTTAGAGTACTAAAATTCTATTTTAAGATCTAACTAAAATTCATTTTAGGTTTAATTTTTTTTTATTAGCATGGTACAGGACAAATAGTTAAGAAATCAGGATCATTTTCAATAGGAATATCTGTAATAATGAAAGAATCTAAGATAATAGTTCTATCTCCCTTTCTCATAATTAATTTAGGTTTATGTCCCATAGCAGGCATATATTTACTACGTTATGATAAACCATGTGAGAAGGTTTAATTTAAATTATTAGTTAATTTGAAATTACTTTCACCAGATCCCCCTATATTATTACTTCTATGACTTGTTAATACATTATTTTCAAATCTGCCTCTTTTAACAACTCCATTTATACTCAATTCTCCATCTCCATGTTACATACCTCTTTCCCAATAACCTTTATAATATTGATCCTTCCAAAACATTTCCCCATAACCATGTCTATAATCATTAACAAAAGCGCCAACATAATAATTTCCTGATGGCCATGTAAATACTCCTTATCCATGTTTTTTATCATTCTCAAACATGCCTTCATAACCATAATGACCTTCTTTTAATTGATCCCATTTATTCCATACTCCTTTACCATGTCTAACTCCATTCTTAAACATTCCTACTCTTATTTCAACATATTTAAACCTCTATATTCAGCTCCATTATTCCATATATATGTTCCTTAACCTTCTGGTTTTCCATTACAAAATTATCCATTATATAAATCCCCATTCACAAAATTTTCTATTCCATGTCCATGTTTCAAATTATTTCGAAAACTTCCAGTATATTTATTATTATTTTAAATGTAAATTCCTTAACCATCAATTTTACCAAATTTCCATTCTCCTTCATAAAAATCATTTCCCATCTTCCAAATTCCATGACCATGTTTAAATCCATTAACCCAATATCCTTCATAACTCTCATTATTTTTTGTATAAATTCCTTTACCTTATGGCTTCCCATTCTAATATTCTCCTTCAAATATCTCACCTGAATTAAAAATCTCTTTACAATGTCCATGTTTTCTATCATTCTACCATATCCCTTCACAAACTCTACCCTTTAATAACATTAAGCCTTATTATGTAAATCTATTTATTCACCTTATCCATGTTTATTGCCATTCAACATTTAACCATAATATGTTCCATTTGGATAATCTTATTCATAATAATTGGCTAATCTTTTCAAAATTTCAATTTTATTTCTAAATAGTTTTAGTTATTATTTCTTTACTCATAATCCTTATTATAAATATGGATATTTTATTATTATTTCAAAAAACTTGTTGGACTTTTACGTTTATCATCTTGTACATCTATTGATGCAATGGTTGGATTTATATTCATATTTTGTTATACTTATTATGCTATCAATTAATCATTTCTTTGTTGCATTTAATTTATATATAATATTTGCTTATTTCAACATAATATTTCATTATTATAGTTTAAATCATATATTTTTATCAGCAATTCTTTCCATCACTCTTAAACATGTGTGTATAGTAGCCAATTAAAAGACATGCAGCTCCTACAACTATTAAATGTAAAACTGTTGGCTAAAATTCTTCCTTTTTATCCATTTTAGATATTTCACTATGATTAATAGGAGCAATAGGAACAAATTATTTAATAGCTGCTGTAGATTTCAAAAATGATGAGTCAGATATTATAGATTAGGTGTCCTCTCCAAAGGTTGGTTTTGTTTTTAATGTCTCAGTCTAAATTTATTCTGTTTTAGCTTTCTCAAAAGCAATATCAATATTATCGTTAGGATTTATTATCACTGTCATTATCTAAAATTTTGCTTTCATGATATTCTAAAATATTGCTAAACAAAACTTCTTTATTGCTAATGATTTGTATTATGTTTGTGGTCATTGGATTGAGAATGCCTTTATTTTCAATCACTTTAAAATCTTAATTGTTTGTTGTTCTTATCTAAGTAACTATAATTACAAAATAGAATACTTTAAATGCTAAATGACGTCTAGTTATGTTTTGAATTTGAATCTATGCTTTTTGGTTTGAAAAGTGTATTTTTTCTTTAGGATTGACTACAAAATGAAAATTATACATAATATTATTATTATGTTTATTTTCATTCTCTTAGTAATTTATGCAATAAAATTCACAATTAAGATTGATTCAATTAAATATAATAATGTTCAGGCATTCTAAAAGAAGGAGTTTGCAATGAATACTGATTTATAAATGGTTGTAATGATAAAAAACCTAATAGTATGTAGATTAATATTGTTATGATTGTACATGTCAAAAATTTAGAAATAGTTTTGACTATCTTGATTCTCAACCTTAAGAATATTTTGAAAGATGGTTCTATATTGATGGTGGAATTACTGTAAAATAGACTTTGTACTTGTGCATATAAAATATCAATTTTAGAAGGGAAAAAAAAAGAATTCCTTTTTGAAATTATTGAATAAATAAAGAAGGATTTATTGGTTTATTATGATAAATGATGATTTTTGTGTTTGGAATACTACAACTTAAAATATTAAGAGTTTTGCTAAAAGCTCAAAAATTATTGCAAAGCTATGTAAATAAACCTCATACAAATGTAAAGATAATACTTAAGAGTGTATTGATTTATATTGCGATTTGTTCAACATAGAATATCAATACAATTTTAAAATTTGATTTTAGTGAAGTGATTAACTGTTTATGGAAAACATCTCTGCAGAAAAATGTTTGAACATTACAATCATTGATTATGTTTGGAATTGCTTCCAATCTAGATATAATATGATAAATGTTAAATTCTTACATTAATTTTAATCTTATTTTTTTCTAAATATGGGAATATTTTGGAATAATTTTATTTGTTATTTTATTATTTATTATTTTATAATTTACTTAAGGAAAGTCTTAGTAAATTATAAATTTGGAAATTAATGAAATAAGATTTATATTAAATTAAATATTAGAATTTATTATAATAAAGAAAAAAAGCTTTAAAGATATTTATACCCCCCTTTTGGAATTAATTCGAACATTTATAAACTACGTTTGTAATTTAATAATTTACTCGTCTAAAATTCTTAATGTCCCATTTTTCTTGTTAGGCTCTTTTTAAAAAAATAGATGGATAACTCCAAGAAGTTATTATTACAACTCAATCTGGAGCTCTACTTATAGTGGTATTTTTATTTAAATTATTTTTTTAGTCAAAAAATGAAAATGAATAAATGGTTTATTTACCTTCCAATTCTATGGACACTATTCTCTGCTTTGGAAGAGAGATCGATGAAAGTAATATTAATATTAAGGTTTAGATTAATAGATTGGAACCCTAGATCTTGATAATCCTGAAACAAAAATAAAAGTTACGTTCTACATAGGTTTGAATGATATCTCAAAGTTAAAATTTCAAATGAGAGGAAGGCAAATTTTCATGGCCTCTTCAAGTTATGTTGTTTTGGGAAAATTAGCCTCTGGAATAAGTAAGAAAAGATATTTAACTCAATAGAACTTATTTAAACCCCTTCTAGGATTTTAGTGGAAAAGAAAGCAAGTTTTCTTCTAAAAGATCAACAATCTCATAACAGATTGGTACTTTTGTAATTTGATAATGATAGGCACAATTAAAATAAGAGACAGACATGTTACGACTGTTAAAAGATCAACCTCATAAAAATATAATTTTATTAGAAGAAATCGTTACAGACTACAAATCGGTATCGATCATTTTAGAATACTGTCAAGGTGGTGATCTTTTAAAGCTACTTTATCAGAAAAGTACCCAAATTGACATCCCACGTTTAATGTTTAATCTACTTTCTGGTAAAACGACATATTTATATTATTGTAGGTTTGAAACATCTCCATAATTTAGAAATTGTACATAGAGACATCAAACTATAGAATATTTTATTTAAAGATTCTTAGAATGTAGACACTTTAAAAATAGCTGATTTTGGATTCTCATGTAAAAAATCTCAAATTCAATACATCAATCCAAGGTTAGAATTTATATTAAATTTTAGATGTGGAACTCCTGGATATACCGCACCTGAAGTATTTAGTTAAGATGGTTTATATGATGAAAAGATCGATATTTATAGCTCAGGCATTGTTTTCTATAATATGTATTGATTTAAAATACCTTAGACTTACATTCAAAAATCCTTTTGGTAATTCTCAGAATATTTCTGACCTTATAAAACTTAATATCAGTGGCAATTACAATGAGGCTCATTTGGAAACAACTAAAATGAATAATCCTCTAGCTTATGATTTACTCACTAAAATGCTCTAGAAAGAATCATAAAATCGACCCAGTGTTCATGAATGCCTAAGCCACCCATATTTTAAAAACTATGTTAAAGGTGATTTTATTGAAGAAATGATATCAAAATGCCGTAAATAGCAAAACAATAAGAAAAAGTTATCTCTAAAAAGAAACAAAAAATGATTACTAAATATATTTAAGCAATATCAGCAATATTTATTGGTTACCATATTATATATAAATATTATTTTATATTAACTCATTAAATAATAATTAAAAAAGAAAAGAGCAGTAATTTGGAAAATGTATCTTAGCTTTTGTTTGTTGTATTAGTGGGTGTATTGGGTGTTATTATTGATTCATTACATTTTTAACATAAATTATTTTCTGCATTCCAGGTAAAAATATTAAAACTTGATTATAAACAATTACTGGCTGATAATTGATTCGGACTTCCCTATACACAACCCGAAGAAGTCATGACACATACAGTGATTTTCTTTTCATCAAATGAGATTAGAGGATTACAAACTGCTCCTTTTGCTACTGTAGCACATGTGTGGTTTATACAAGAAGTTACTTCGATTCCATTTTATAATGAAACCAAAAAATGGCATGAATTTGATTTTAATTTACATGCTATTGAATCTGAATTGGCTTATTCACAAGTGGTCATCAATGCACAGGTACCTTTATTAGTATCAGCTATCGAAGGAGTGAAAACACAGATTCCATCTAACCCACCAGAATTACATGCAATTTTAGTTTTATATGTTTAACATTTATTTTTAAGAATACAATTTTTACCATTAGATATACATACCTTTTTATTTTATTTGCATTTATCAGTTGTTGTATCTTAGTAATCTGAACAAGTTTTAACTCTACATTATTTAAATCCTTAGGTTTATCCTTCTTAATAAGTATAAATACATTAACCATCAGTTCCATAATGACAACCAGGTTCTTTATAAGAGGAACATAATGCCATTGAGACACAATTTGTACCATTAGTTGTGCATTTGGTAGAAGCTATAAAATTATTGCATGAAGAATGTTAAGAAATATCAATTGTAATATCAAATGCTGCATCATTACATAATCTTAATCTACAAGAGTTTTGATTCCAAATGCAGATACCATCAATACCTCCAGAATTGCACGATTCTTCATTTTAGTAATTAATACAATTTGTTTTTGAAATACATCCAAATCCATCAGAAATACATAGATCAGAATACTATTAACATAGAGCAGTAGTGGAAGCAATAAAATCAGAGCATTTGGTAAATTGAGTACAAATAGGTTCCATCCATCCACATTTACCATCAATTCCAAGTGAACAACTAATTTAATTAGTATATTTGGAACAAAAAGTTATAGGTATACAAGTTAAACCATTACTAGTACATTTATTTGAATATTATTAGCATAAATTATGTGATTTTTCTTCAATATCAATGCATTATGAATAAGTGATACATTTTTATTAAAACCACAAACATGGATTACCTAAATGATCATTTGTACATTTTGATTTTACAATAATATCTTCACAAATATAATTTGAATTGATACATCCTTATCCATTTGAATAACATTTATTAAGAAATTCTTTACACTTTTCATCTGTTGTAAATTCTTTGCTGGCATCAGAACATTCAAGTTTTCTACAAAAGGTTTTCTCCCAAATACAAAGACCTCCTTCATCAGTAGTTTAAGCAAATGAACATGAATTTGCATCAGTATAAGACGAACATATACCCATTTAAATACATCCTTTGCCTTTTGAAGTGCATAATTGAGACATTCTTTAACAATCTATATGTGTTAAAAGACTTTCAGATGCATCTTCACATTTCCAATCTCTACAAAATCCTATATTAGAAGTTTAATTTGATTCCCATGAACATCTTCCTATTTCTGTATAAACAGGAGTATTTACACATATAGATTAAGATTTAAAAATACTACATGAATTTGAAAGTTAAGTACAATTACCACTGTATGAGCATTGCTTTTTACTTTAACAAGCTTTCTATGTTTAAATTTCTTCACAAGAGACAGTATTAACACAGCCATATCCATTCGTTACACATCCTTCTTTAAAAATATTACATAATTCATCACTATCATAATTATTTGGTGCTTCATTACATTTTAAAGCAACACATGGAGTAACACTTGTATCACTTGTTCCTTTACAAGGTTTATCTGTTGCTGTAAATAATGGACATGATCTAATAGTACCATTAAATTAAGAACATTATTAAGGTGAAACACATCCTATTCCTTTACTCACACATCCCTTTAAGAATTTCTGACATTCATTATCGCTCTTGGCTGTACTATTATGTGAACAAACTCTGTCAATACAATTAGTCAATGGAGTTGCTGTAATTACATTCCAACATGCTTTACTTCCATTTTATCCCTTAAATAAACTACATTCTGTTTGTGTTCCTTAATATTCTGAACATTTTGCATTATAATTAATGCATCCTCTTCCTTTGCTTACACATCCTACTTAAAACTCCTAACATTATGTATCTGTATTATAAATCTGATTGTCACTACATAACCTTACTCTACACTATTAAATTGTAGTTAGGCTATCACTCCAACATTTCTTACCATCCCCAATAAATTTTGAACAAATGCTTTGATTTCCAACATAATTATTACAACTTTCATCCTTATTAATACATCCTTACCCTCTTGTTACACATCCTTTCATAAATGCATCACATTCGACATCAGTTGTACTATTCATATCATCCTAACATTATTTTTATTCACAAAACCCAAAAGAATCTTAACCTTTGCATTTAATCCCATTACCAACAAAACCTAAACAACTAGAAATCGTTCCTTTATATTCTGAACAAGTAACTGTACTATCAACACATCCCTTTCCAGTAGTTCTGCATCCTGGTAAAAATTCATTACATTCTATATCTGTCATTCCTGTCTAATTTTAAGAACATATTCTTTATACACAATTACCAGATACAAACCAACATCTGTCTCCTGTTGTTGTTCTTAAATTTTAACATTAAGTTTCACTCACACCAACATAAAGGTTACAAGTACTTTACTTTGTAAAACAATTTTATCCATCATAAGTGCATATGGATAAATGCATCCCACAATTCACATAATTTGCATTTTCGATTATATTAGAACATGATCTATCTTCACAAATTCCTACTTCATTTGTTTATTTCCAACAAAAATTACCACTTGTATTAGTAGTAGATTAACAAGCACTTTTTGTAAATCCTGTATATAAATTACATTAAGCTTAATTATCAACACATCCAACACCATTAAATCTACAACTACTCAAATGATTTGGACAATTTATTTCATTTGCATTCTCAATTGTATTATTACAACTTCTCTCACTGCATTATGTAGATCCACTTACTGGAATCCAACATAATCCTCCTGAATTTGTTGTTACTTATTTACAAGCTTCTGCTGTGAAACCTAAATATTGATTACAATTTGTCTAGTAAATCACACAAGATGAACCATTAAATCTGCAAGTATTCAAATGATCTAAACATTTCTAAGCACTTAATCCAACTGTTATATTTGCACACTATCTATCTTCGCATGCACCATTCGAATTTGAAGTTCTCCAACATTTTCCTACACCATCTGCCAACTTAACATCTCTACATGCCTACTATGTAAATGGATTATATAAATTGCATGCTGTTTGTGCTTCTACACACAATGTACCATTATATCTACAAGAAGATTTATGAGCTTGACAATTAATTTAATTTGGAGTTGTAACTGTGTTTGTACATTATCTGCTTTCACAGGTTGTCAAGGTACTATTCTCTAACCAACATTTCTCTCCAGCTGAAGTAACTGCAGATTTACATGCTGATTAAAGAAAATTAGTATAAGAATTACAATTAGTTTACTTATCGACGCATTTTACTCCATCATAAATACATGTGTTGGAATATTACATGCAAAATTATGAAGAAAAAGAATAAGGATTTGATGCATTAGTGATACCTAAGCATGTTCTTGCCATACATGTTCCAACTGAATTAGATTATCTCCAGCATAATCCAGTTGATATGCTTTCTGCTTTTTCACATTAATTAGGTTAAAAGTTTATATATTAGTTGCATAGATTTTATTAAGAAATACAATTAGAACCACTAAAAATACAACCAGATAAAAACTAGTCACAATCATTTTAGTTATTTGCAGATGTTAAATGTGAACAACTTCTTGTTTAACATGTACCAGTTCCATTAGCTAAATAACATTTTCCACCTGAAATTGTTGTAATTTATTAGCAAATTTAATAGTTTAAACCAATATATGATAAACAGGAAACTTAAGCATCTATGCATAAGAATCCATTGAACCTACAAGTTGGCATATATGCTGTACATTGATCATTATTTGAAGGATTAATAACATCTGAACAACTTCTATTGATACATGCATTTTTACGAACACATGGTTTTCCACTTCCAATAAAATTTGAACATTAAGTTTCATCACCTTAGAAAGCTGTACATAATTATGTATTTTCTATACATCCTATACCTTTAGTAACACAACCTGATAAGAATTATTCACATTATAAATTATTTATTGAGAGAGTATCTTAAATACATTCCTTATTAACACAAGTAGAGCCACTAACCCACCAACATTATTTTGTGTTATTTAAACCTTTGAATTTTGAACAGTCATTTATATTATTTCCTGAATAAGATGAACATGGCTCAGCTTAATCAATACATCCAATACCTTTAAATACACAGTTATATAAAAAAGATTTACATTATTCATCTGATGTAGCAGTTATGTTATCTGAACATAATAGATTTCTACATGATGCAGTAAGTCCAGTATCTTAGTAACATTTAATGGTTCCATTTATTCCAAAATAAGATGAACACATTTGTTAATTACCTGTATATGAATTACAATTAGCAGATTAATCAATGCAACCAGCTGTACCTTAAAATTGACATCCTTTTAAAAAATCATCACATTACTTCTGATTAATTGCTGTAGTATTATTAGAACATTAAAGATTTTCACAAGGACCTATTAAAGTACTATTTCTAGTGCATTTGATTCCATTTCCTTTAAAATTAGAACAAGTATCTTGAGTTCCATTATATTGATTACAAGGAGAAGTAGCTGGAAGGCATCCTTAAGAATTAGTAAGACATCCATTTAAGAATTTTTTACAGTCATCATCTTTATTATAATAATTGGGAGCATCATTACATAATCTGATTCTACAAATGCCATTAACCCAGAAACAAGGTTTATCATTTGCTAGATTATTATTACATAAACTAATATTATTAAAGAAAGAACAGTTAGTTTTAGTAACACAGACTTGATTCCATTAACATGAAGATGTAGCTTTGCATGTTATTTCTGCAATAGTGGATAAACAATTTGTTTGTTTAACACAACCTTATCCATTAGTTAAACAATCGCTTTAAAATGATATACATTATTCATGTGTTTTATAATTAGTAGGAGCATCAGTACAAACTAAATTTGAACAAGGTCCTTCATCAGTATTATTTTTAGAATAACATCTTCCATCAGATCCTTAATATTTGGAACAAGTAATTGATGTTCCATTATAAGTTGAACATAATTTTCGAGTACTTACACAATTCACTCCATCTGTTATACAGCCCTTTTGATATTCATTACATTCTTTATCTGTTTTAAAAGATGCTTCTTCACATACTCTAACCTTACAACCAATAGAACCAAAAGAACATTTACCATCAATTCCTATATATTTATTACACTCTTCAAATGTTCCTGAATAAGAACTACATAATCTTAATTAAGTATCACATCCTCTTCCTTTTGTTATACATGTATTTAAATACTATTTACATTTTTCATCGCTGTCATATGAAAGTGGAGCATTTTCACATCTTCTTGATTAACATTTATTATTTAATCCATTCTCACATTAACCATCAGATCCTTTCATTTTATCACATTCATTTCCCACATAATTATCACAAGTTGGTAATGGATTCTACCAACATCCCTTACCTGTAGTAATACATCCTATTTAATATCTTCCACATTATTCATCTTTTATATAATCAATAGAAGCAGATTAACATTCTTTCATACCACAACCATTTACTGTTCTTATACAATAGCCTTCCTTTCCTATCATTTAATTACATTCCTCTATTCCATAAGTTGAACATTCTTTTCTAATTTCAACACATCCCTTCCCATTTGTTAAACATCCTAATTTAAATTTATTACACTCAAAATCTGTTTTCAAATCATTACTTGCTTCTATACATTTTTGATCTCTACATTCATTATTCTCCCATCTACAATAACCACCATATTTATTCATATTCGAATTACAATCTATCTAACCTTTATAATCATTGCAATCTTTTCTATCCATACATTATTTGCCATCTGATGTACATTCTTATGAAATCTATTAACATAAATCATTAGAACTTCCCATATAAGCAGAACATCCACTAAATTATTCGCATTAATTATCAATCCATGCACATCCTTTTATACTACCACATTTTTATTCATCAAAAGACCTACAATAAACACTTATTGTGTCCTCATTCTTTATTAAATCATTTTAGACACATTTATTATCATTCCATTTACAACCCATGTTTGCACAATCAGACTTTGATTTTATTTATATACAAGTGCATGATTCATCCACATTTATAGATATTGCCCTTTCTTGATTAACTAATAACAATAATAAACTCAATCTCCACATTTGTTTTATTCTATATATATTAAAAATTAATTAGACATAATTTTTATATCAATTTCTTTATAATTATTTCATTTATACAAATTCTCTCATATTTCTGATATATTTAAAGTAAATTTTTATTAATCTTGACTAAATCACTTTTCTCAAACTAATTCTTTTTTCTCTCAAAAATACTCTCAGTACTTTAGTTAGTATATTAAAAATTTTCTACAAATAATTTTTAAACGTACTAATATATTTTAAAAAATAACTTTTTCAATCTTTTATAACCACAACCCATTTCATTCTTAAAATTATCCATGATATTTTAGTTAATTTAATAAAATTTTTTAAAATTAAAACAAAAATTCTAAAAAATTCGAGATATTTGCATCATCAAATTAATTTGATAAATCAATTTAAACAATATCATTTAAAGTTATAAAAATAACACATTATTTCTTTATAAAGTTTATCTTTTAAATATTTCATCAAAAAAATTAGTTAGTTTTATTATATATATTTTATTAAATGTTAATGATTACACAATATTATATTTTTATTATTATAAAAATATATATGATTTCAATTTCTAGGGTTAAAAAGAGCTTAAGATTTTATAACAAAAACTTTTAATGGATTTATAATTAACATTTTGGATGAAAATTATTTATTTAGATAAATTTTTTTTCTGGGTTTTCAGGTTCATCTTATGAGACTAAATTATTTCTTTGTCATAAAAAATTTACCTGTGCAATATTTAAAACAGCTTCAATTAATCATAATTCATATTTTATCAATCATTTTCTATATTAATTATAAGTCAGGAAAAAAATAAATTTTTGGAAATATTGTAGGATAAGTATTATTTTAAGACTTAGCCATCAAATATTGTAATTATTTTCATTTAGTTTTAGTATTCTTAAATATTAATTGATTGCTTTATGATTCAAATCTCAACACCGATTTTAATAACATCTTTAAAATTGAAAAAGGTTTATTTTTAAAAAGTTCAGGAATTGAGTAAATAATTGGCAAATGATCATATTTTGTGTTTCAAAGATATTGAATTTGTTTTATGAATATAAGTCAATTTCTCTATTAAATTTAATCCGTAATAATATAATCTAATAAAATTCTGTAATTTAATTAGACCAAAAATTAAAATTAAAAAAAAAAGTGCTATTTTTTTAAATCCAATTCAAATAAATTTTGACATTTATTGAATTTATTATCAAAAATATTGTTATAGATATGAAATCAAAAAATTCATATGCCTTAACTGTTAGTATACTTCCTTTTTTATAGATTAAGCAATCTCTCTATTTTTGCATTTTTATTATAAAAGTAAATTTTAATAATAAAATAGTATTTTTGTTAATTAATTTATAATTGAATGATCTTGAGTGATTAATTATAGAAAATTAACTAAGTATTTAATAAAAATAAGTACTGTCAAAATCGTTTTATGAACATTTTTAATTATTCAGTTTTTGGATTAAAAACATAAATAAAAAATATATGAATTAGATCATCGATAAAAAAGAAAGTACTAAGCTTGATTCAATAATGATCATTAAAAATTTGGAATACCTTAAAGATCATTTGGTTATGGATAATATAGATAAAATAAGTCAAGATGTGGAGTTGGAGGAAGATTTAGATAAAACTATACTAATCTGTAATTCAGATTACGATTATTGAAATAAGACCATCTTCTTAATGATTCTCGTTGATTATATATAACCATTAGTTCACTTAATAAAACCTAAACATATATTTGGTAAACTCATTCACTTTTCTAACGAGATTGTAGAGGATCCACAAGGAACAATTTCAATCGAAATGCGTCATTACCTGACATGTAATAGGTTTACATTCTTTTCATTTTGGCATAACCAAGAGATTCATACAATCTTAATGCAGCATGATTAGTTTATTCAGTTTCAAGAACGATTTCTTCACGTACCTTTTTCTTTAATTTTGTCAATAAATTTTTATGCTAAAATTCTGCCTATTTTAAGACGTCTATATTTCTTTTCTACTACAATCATAGCTATGTAACCTCTATTTCTGCCTGATTTATGATGTTTATCTAATTTTCCAATTACTACCTATAATTTTTGATAATAGAAATCGCCCCAATAATTTCATTTTTATAGTATGCAAAAATTGATAATTCAGGCCAACCATATAGAAAATATCTGTATGTATAAATAGAATATGGTTCTGATAATTCTGCATCAATCATTGGCATAATTTTAGGTATTTAATCATAATCTGTGAAATTAGTATATTGAATGTCCTCCAATTTAATTGATTAATCTTAATCCATTATTTAAATTAAACAAATAATACATCTATTGTGTTTGATTTGTATTTTATGTGATTATATAATATAAATTTATTGAAATCAATGATGAATTATCAAACTACGATGGATTAGGTATATACAGAAGATGAATAACCAATATGCGACCCATCAAATTACACTCTTTAGTATATTTCTAGAATGATGATAATTTCAATATCCTTACTTTCATCTGGTTTCATAGGATTGACTTGCGTATTAAGTAGAAAAAGAAGCTTCTGGATTTTTAAGATATTATCGTTTTAATCATTGTTTGAATGCACAGATTTATTATTAGCTTTAATTTTTAATAGGCAATTAATGGAAGAAAAAACATTAATATAACATTGTGGTTTAATTGGGTATATAATGCATAGTAGTTGGATCTCATCCTTTTTTTGCTGCTTATTAATGGTATATTAGATGAATCTATTATTAAAAGTACTATCATTTTTAATTAAGGTTAATAAATTCTATGAAACTTTATCTAAAAATGTAATTTATGTTTTGCTATCGATATTGGTATTACCTTATTTTTGGTTACTTATACCATACCTTTTAAATGATTTTGTACCAACAGGATGGAATTCTTATTAAATGAAATGTTCTTAATACTTTTTTTGTGGATTTGACAAAGATTGGATACTTTATCTTATCTTTTGGACTCTACCTTAAGTTGTCCTTTTTTTATATGGCTTCAAATTAGTAAGAAAAGTAACTAATTTGATTATTCATTAGAATTATAATTAAGCATCACTTCATTTATCAACTTTTTAAGATGAAGAATTTAAAATAATTAAAAAACTTTAAGTATTTCCAGAAATATATTCAATCGCTTGGATTATCAATTAGTTAATAAGGTATAAGTAAATTAATTTAGATATGTTGATATTATTCCATAAATTCGTGAATTATTTGTTAATAATGAAGTTGGGTATGCTTTCTACATCCTTTTAAATTTAGTTTTTGAATTACATTTAGTGATTGTTATGATTTATTTTTTGAAAAATTACAAGTAAGTTAAATAACCCATTAATTTATAGTAAAGTGTTGAATGTTAAACAAATATGGCTTTCTATATTTTGTTGTCAATAAAAAGTGGAAAGATAACAAGAAGCTAGCCTGCTTTACGAAGATGTTAATTAGACTTCATGATAATATTACCTATTTATTAATTTAAATTAAAGACTTATTTTTTTTACCCTAATTCAAAATTATTAAATCAAGATTTGAATCTCAAATTCTAATAACTTAATAAAAAGTGTTAATAATTTTCCTTCTTAATTTATTTTATTATTACTTTAAACATTAATTAAAAACATAATGAATATAATTTAAGTTATTTTTTTGCATAAAGTATTGCTTTATTAAAATCAACAAAAAATTAGAATAACTTATTTTAAAGAATCAATTATGAAATCGAATTTATAATTAGATTAATAATCCCAGACACTCAAACTTCAACTTTTTAAATAAATAATTCTGATATTAAGAGAGGAAGAAGATGACGAACATGAAAAGTAAGAGGATGAACCAATTCATAAAGCCATAATCATTGTTATATCCTTATGTTTAGGATTATTAATTATTGGAATAATTGTATGCCTATGTAAATGTTTGTATTAAAGAATTAAACAAAAAAGAATAGCTTAGGTTCGTCAATTTAATGAAATTTAATTTTAATAGTAAAATATTTATTTAGAAACATAATGTTTGTATAATAGAGAATTGGAAGACTGTCCAATTTGTTTAATGCCAATTCCTAGTTTTTTATTAATATCTACATCTTGCAATCATAAATTTCATAAGGTTTGTTTAGCTTTATGGTTGTAAGTCGACAAGATATGTCCAACTTGTAGGATGCCTATTTCTTAATGAACTAAAGAAAATAAGAATGCAGTATTTAAAAATTATTTATGAATAAATCTTAATTTAATATCTTTTTTTAAAGTGCTTATAAAATTATAACAAACCTATTCGAATTGAGATAGATTAGAAAATAAAAAATATTAATTTACATATTGAGAGATTATATGGATAATAAATACAAATTAAATTAATATTAAATGAATAACTCTCAAAAAAGTAAAACAGTAAGTTCAGTTTCAGCAAGAGAAGAATTAAGAGAAATGTTGATTAGCAAATTTTCAAAAGATTTCACTTAAGATAACAAACTTAAGGAAAGGTTAATTTACTAAATAGTTAATGAATACTTTGCGAATGAGCAAGTATCAATAATAAAAAAATGTTAGGTTACAGAAAATACTTTAAAGGTAAGTGTATTAGAGGCATTAAGAAGGTAACAACATCAAAGTTAAATTTAATAAAATCCATTCGAAATCTTTGAATTTGAGGATAAAAATGAAAAGAAATCATACAATTTTGGACCTTAATCTGTAAAGAATTCAGTAAAATCTGAAAGAGATGTAGATTAATATTCTGTTATTTCTTCATATTTTGAAAAACCACCAAAATCAGTATATATAGTTGATGAAGAAGATGAATGGGCTGCTTTAGTAAAATTCGATACAGAGCTTTATACTAAAGAACGATAATTAGAAATGCAAAGGTAGACTGAGTTTAAAAAAAAATGAAAAATGAACTTGATAGATTATTAGAAGAAAAAGAAGAAAAGATTAGAAAGAGAGAGAAAATAGGAAGAAGCTTATGTAAGAGTTAAGAGAGATTAAATGAATGTATATCATTAGAGAGAAGATCAGAAAAAGAAAGTAACAAATCGAAAAGAGTAAAGTAATAAATAAGTAAGGGAAGAGGAAAAGAAAAGATTTTTGGAAAAAAAAGATAATCAGAATAAGATGCTATATTGGTATAAAGAATTTAAGAAGAATTATAATAAGAAAAAAGAGAAACACTTTAAAAGAAGGAGATAGAAAAAAGAAAATTTATTGAAATGATAGAAGAAAATGAAAAAAATAGATAAAAATAAATAAATGATGATATTGCTGAAAATAATTAGAAATAGATATGTAAAGGAAATATATTGCTTTACAATAAAAATTAGAATAAGAAAGAGAATTTGAAAAAAAGAAAAGAGTGGATAAAATAATAAAAATTATGAGCGATTTTTCATACACTGTTGTAAAGCCATAGAAAGATTAAATTAAAAATAATTTTATTTAGAATTAGAGCTGAAGATGATAAAATGATGAAAGTTATTCTTATATTAATTAAATAGAATAAAATGATGAAGAATTAAAAAAAAGGTAGATAAAATAGTAATAGTAGGAAATGAAATAATATTTAATCAAATAAATGGAAGATAAAAAGTATTTATGAAATGATTATTTAAGATAGAAAATTAAAGAAGAAGAAGAATTAAATAAAAAATAAGCTTAAGTTTGGCAATAAGATTTACAAATGTATAAAACACATGAGAAATAAAATTTAAATTACATAAAAGATGGAAATTTGAAATATTAATAAATTCTTAAACAATAAATAGATGAAAGAAAATCATAGTAGAGGCCTAGAAATAAAATGAATAATGAAGAATTAATGAATAATAAGCCTTTACTAGGAGAATTGGTAGATTAGTAAGATGCAATAAAGGTTAGAAAGATAAATATTTAGATTGATTTATTTATATAGATTATATATAAATTTTATGTTAAATATATATATTTAAATGTGATAACAAATCCATAAATTAAATTATCAAAATATGACTCATAGTTACGGTTTAAAAAAGGGTACAAGAAGTAAGTTTGCTAAACCATTCAGAGGACATGGAAACATATCAATTAGAAAAACCCTTTAAACCTTCAGAAGAGGTAAGTCTTTATTAATAATGTTAAGGTGATTTTGTTGATATTTTGGTTGATGGTGCTTAACACAAAGGTGTTCCATTTTAATATTATCATGGTAGAACTGCAAGAGTATTCAATGTCAATCCAAGAGGAATCGGTGTTTCATTATAAAGAAGAGTGAGAGGAAGATATGTTGAAAAGCGTTTTCATGTTAGAGCAGATCACTTGAGACCATCTAAATGCAGATAAGAATTTGTTAAAAGAGTTTAAGAGAATGATAAGAGAAAGACTGAAGCAAAGAAGAATAAGAAAGTCATTTCAACTAAGCGATAACCAGTTTAACCAAGAGAAGCAACAGTTGTCATACCAAAATAAACAACTTTCTAACATCCAAAGGCATTTGTAGAAATTATTTGATCCAACAAATCAGTATATTATAAAAAAAATAAGTTAATAATATAAATTAAGAGTTTTATTAATGATTAATGCATATTTCTACTTGATACATCATAATCATTTTTCTTATTATTATTAAGGTCCATCAAAATCATCTTCATCTTCTTTTCTTCTGTAATAATATGTTTCTAGATTTTTTTTGTTAATCTAAAGATTATAAATGTATGATTACTTTCTTTAATTTTTCAGGAGGAAAGATTCTTAACAATCTCCATGCTAAATCTAGAGATTTGAAAATGGATCTAACTTCATAAGCTCCTTGACTGATGAAATTATTTTCAAATTTCTTCAAAAATTCTAAATACAAAAGATCTTCTGCTGATAAGGCTTCTTCTCCTACGACAGCTTTCATGGCTGCTGTATCTTTACCAATGGCATAATTGGCATATAACTATAAAGAATATTATATATGATAAATACTTAATTAGAAACTTCAGGATGATCTTCTCTAGTCATTCCCTTACCAATAGCAGATTTCATCAATCTTGATAAAGATGGTAAGACATTAATAGGTGGATATACTTATTTGTTATTTAATTGTCTGTCAATAAAAATTTAACCTTCAGTAATATAACCTGTAAGATCTGGAATTGGATGTGTAATATCATCATTAGGCATTGTTAAAATTGGAATTTATGTGATTGATCCATTTTTACCTTATACTCTACCAGCTCTTTCATAAATAGTTGAAAGATCTGTATATAAATAACCTGGAAAAGAACGTCTTCCTGGAACTTCTTCTCTAGCTGCAGATACTTCTCTTAAGGAATCTGCATAGGCTGACATATCTGTTAAGATAACTAAAACATGCAATTCTTTTTCATAAGCCAAATATTCTGCAGTTGTTAATGCCAATCTTGGAGTAATAATTCTTTCAATTGTAGGATCATTAGCCAAGTTCATAAATAGAACGACTCTTTCCATAGAACCATTTTATTCAAAATCTGTTTAGAAAAATCTAGCAGTTTCCATATTAACTCCCATAGCACCAAATACAACTGCAAAATTTTCATCAGAATGATCAAGTACATCTTTTCCTTTGACTAATGAAGCTTAACGCACAATTTAACTAAAATCATTGATATAGAATCATACGCTCCTATTTCATTATGTGGTAAACCGTTGGCAGAAAACAATGGAATTTTCTATCCTCTGGCAATTGAATTCATACAATCTATAGCTGATATACCTGTTTGAATCATTTCTTGAGGATACACTCTTGAGAAAGGATTTATAGGTTATCCTTGAATATCCAAGAATTCTTCTGCCAATACAGGAGGTCCTTTATCAATTGGAACACCTGATCCATTGAATGCTCTTCCAAGCATTTCTTCAGAGATTGGCATTTAAAGCGTTGAACCTGTGAATTCGCAATGTGTGTATAAATTATCTATACCTGAAGTACCTTCAAAGATCTGAACGACTGCTTTCTTACCAGCAATTTCCAAAACTTATCTAAAAGTATGAAATATTTTAATACCCTTTTCTAACAGATCCATCCCCCAAACAAACATTAACAATTTCTGCATATCTTGGGAATTTGACATTATCTAAAATAACCAAGGGACCATCTACTTTGACGACTGTTCTATAATCGACTCTTGGAGTAACATTGTAATTTCTAGAAGCAGCAGCTGCATTTAACTTAGCAGCTACAACTTTAGCAACATCATGTGCCTTATGATGATGACTCATTTATAAAATAAAGATATTTATGTTTTTAAGAATTTATAAAGTCATATTAATATCATAATTATACACATAAATATAATATTAACAAGAAAAAAAAAGAAGTTCAATGCCTCCAAATTTTAACCCTTCTATCCTTGCCTCCACTTCCAGCTTTTTCACCTCCAATAGGAGCCCAATCAACAGCATAAACCTCATCTGCATGTCCTGGTAAATCAAAGGCTAATTTCTTTTTTTATAAAGACCATAATTTCAAAGTAGAATCTTTAGAGGCTGATAACATATATCGAGAATCACTAGACCATGAAACTTAGTAAACTGAACCAACATGTCCTCTCAAAGTAGCAATCCAAGTTCCATTATATCCATCCCAAATTCTTAAACTCTTATCAAAACTAGCAGAAACAATATATCTTCCATCTGGTGAAAATTACACATGATTAACTTATTATTAATGTCCAGTCATTCTAACTTTTGGTTTTGATGATGTATATTCCCATAACATTAAAGTTTAATCATCACTAGCACTAACAAGTCTTTCATTTTTCCCATTCAAAATCTTATCATAAAAAACCTTAGCTTATTTAGTATTAATATCTGTATTCCCTTCACTAAAACATGCACATCTTATTGTATAATCAGTATGTAAGGCAATAGAATTGACCCAATGTCCATGTCCTTTTAATTCTTAAACTCTTTTTCCTGTTTTATTCCATACTCCAATAGTTGTGTCTTCAGATGCAGAATATATATATCCTTAACCTCCCCATAACATTCTAAATCTATTTAAAATTTATACTTAGTTATAGCTTTTTAATGAGCATTTATTACTATTAGACAAGAAAGAGAAATTCGACTCCAAATTCTAATACAACCATCTTTTGAAGAAGAAGCTACTAATGTACATTCTTCATCTAGATGCATAGGTTACCAAGCTATACTAGTAACCCATTTAGTGTGTCCTTTAAGTGGTTATCCCTTTAATTAATTAGTTTAAACATCCCAAATGCAAACCTGACCATCATGACTACCAGAAGCAATGTATTTACAATCAGGACTCCATGCTAAACAAAGAACCCAATTTTTATGACCTTAAAGAGTAGCTATTGGAGTTTCAGTCAACATATCCCATAATCTTATTGTAGTATCACCACTTCCTGTTGCTAAGATATCACCATGGGTTTTAAATTAAACACATAATACAGGTTATTCATGACCTTCAAGAGCAGCTGTTTATCTAGTTATTGGTTGAATTCTAAATAAAGATTAAGGATGATATGTTAGAGAAAATGTATTTTCTAATTTATACTCTGGATCTGAAGCTATTAATTAATTTAAAGTATCCAGTAATTCTATATTGTTATGAAAAAATGAATAAACTTAATCTTCTTCTGTTTTTACCAATTATTATAAAATTGATTGTAATTCTTGTTTAGTTGTATTGACTGATAATTCTAATGATTTCTATGCTTCTTCACCATAAGGATTAATGAGAGTAACAAATACTCTTGTATCAGGAGCAAGTAAAGTAATTTAATTTGGTTTTATCTTCTTCTTTGTCTAATCCATTTATTGATCACTATTAAAATTAATGAATCAAGACAAGAGAAAATAAAGAGATTTTGAAGATGATGATTCAGAAGAAGAATAAGAAATTGAATAACCTATTAATGTACATAATAAAGGAGATATGGAAGAGGAAATCAATCTTGACTTTGTTTTCCTTGATCCAAATCAAAAATAATTTCACTCTATTAAAACATTCATTAATGGTTATCTAGAGGGAATTAGTTTTAAATCCTCTGAATTAGCCAATATTATATGTGATTAAGTTGAATTAGGAACTATGGTTGGACAAGAAGATGAAGACAATGTTTTTGGTTTTACTACAATATTAAATATTGGTGAAATTAAGTAACTTTATATTTCATTATTATTAGGAGTAATGCCATTGGTGAAATCTTACATTATGTTGATACTAAATCTTAATAGCATAATAAATAACATTAACAACTTTAACATATTCTTTAAACACCAAGAAAAGTTGGCTTATTCATTAATGAAAGAATTCTTAATTTAGCTCCATAACTTGTTCCCATCTTACATAATTAATTAGTAATTATCTTCTCTTATTTTAGAAAGAAGATATCAACTGGTTGCAAAAAGAAGATCCAAAAAGTTCCCTTACAAATTTAGATTATTTGCTTGTCATCACTAAATGTTTTAAAGATATTGACTAATAAAAATAAACTTAAAAAGTAACATTAACTTTTTAAAATTAGAAATCTACTTCAGATCTCAATGATTTGATATTCTAAAAGTTTGAGGACTATGTTTTCCTTCAAAAATCTCTGCTTTCATTTCGATTCCTTAGTGAAGGATCTAAATAAACTTAACAAGTATCTGACTTTATGAAAACTGAATAAGATGGTCAAATATGCTATCGATTGATCTATCTGATTTAATTAAAAGATTATCTAGCATAAATTGCCAATATTGAATAATATGTATAATAATGAATTTTAAAAATGTATCTAACTTAATATAATCTATCATTCTACTAATTATTTTAAATATATTTTATTCATAAACAAATAATCTATAATCATAAATTTAGATTTTCGAAACACCCTTTTAACTTCTCTCTAGTAGCTGGCTTTATTATTACTCCATCAAAACCTTCATTTATACTTTTTTCTTAGTCTGATATACTACAAAAAGCAGTTACAGCAATTACAGGTATTGCCTTAACCAATTATTATTCGCATTCAATTTACCGAATTATTTAAACAGCCTCCCAACCACTCATTAATGGCATATTTATGTCCATCAATATACAATGATAACCAGTGCATTTTCCACTACATTTATCTTATAATTTCTTTGATACTTTTTCTATAGCTTACTTTCCATTAAAGGCAGTCTCTATTTAGAATCCCATATCCTTTATGGTATGGGCAATTATATCAATATTAAATTACTCATCATCAACTATCAAAATAGTTTCACATTTACAATGATTCTATCGTTTTTTTGGAATTTCTATAGACAAATCATGAGAATTGCTTCTTTTGAAAATATTAATTGCTGTGAATTAATGGCCTTTATTATAATTTAAGACTTTAACAGATGCACTTTATGCATCTTATAATGGAATAGTCATTTATAAAGATTTTTGTATTGATGATTTTTCTTCAATATATCTAAGACAAAAATAAAATGATGAACCACTATCCTTAACAGAATCAACAAATAAGAGATTAGAATTTTCTGGGGCTAATTACCGAATTATTGATTTACAAACTGATAAACCTAAACCAATTCCAACAGAATATTTAGATACTTTTTCATCTTCATCTGCAACATGTAACTAATATAATTGACTATTTTTTACTTTCTTTCTCAAAGTAACTAATTCTTCCTCATCCATACCAAATCCACTATCTTTTATATAAATTTCTAAAATATTAGTATCTTCTTATGAAAATTAAGATTGAACTTCATCTATAATACCAAAATAAGATGGAGAATTTTTTTTTTTTTTCACTTCTACTGTGATTCCACCTTAAATAGTAAACTTAATAGCATTTGTTAATAAATTTAAAATAACTTAACAAAATCTTTACCTATCCCCTTTAATAATATATGCACAATTCTCTGGAATATCTAATTAATAACTTAATTATTTTCTATAAATTTAATCTTTAATCAAATCTACACATTCTGTTATAGCATTAATTAATTCAAATTTGTCTTCTCTCAATTTTAATTTATTATCTAATAAATATCTATAATCAAAAAAATCTTGAACTTTGAATAATTATAATTTTGTGTATCTCAAAGCACATGCTAATTATTCAGACATCTATTCTCCTTTTAATAAACTATCCTAACATTGTTTTATATAACCATAAGCAGCATTTAAATTTGTTAACATTTCATGAGAAATAGATCTTAACAAATTCTTCTTTACTGATTCTAATTTTTTTAAACTAGTTTTTAAAAGAACTGGATTCAATTCATGAACAAAAAATATTTAGAAATCATCTTCCTCATCAAATAACTTATAATTCTCAATAACATAAATTAGGAACTTCATATCATGATTCATGGTTGAAGGAGATAAATTTTGATGTTTTTGATTATTATCTCTTAGAATTTACTCAAAAGATTATTTTCCACTTGTAGGAGTTGAAGGTTTATTAATACTAATTCTATTTGATGATCTCTTTCTTTATTTCTTCTTTGAACTCTAAGTACACATATATGGTTAATGTCTTAATTCAACTTACAATGATATATCTGCAGTATATTATTTTTTTATTACTTATTCATCATCTTTTATTTTAAATGATGAAAAGAATTCTTATTTATATGATATTTTTTTATTTAATGGACCTTTATCACTTAAATTATATATCAATTATCTTGATCCACACTCAGGACTTAAAATTTCCTTTTTATAATTCACTTTCCGTATCTTATATTAATCAATCTATAATTCATCTTCAAAATCAATTATTGATATTCCTTATTAATTCAATTCTGTTAGTTAAAGATTTTACAAAAAATGTAATTATAATTTTGAATAATTTATAAATCTATCTGGTGATTAATCTGTATCAGAGTTATTTGATCCTTCTAATGTTAAGGATAAATTTTCAAAACTCTTATTTGAATAAAGCAATTAATTTTTATTTTTTTAAACTATACACATAGCCGATGGAATTGTATCTATAATTAGAAATAATGCTTAAAGTTTTGAGTAAATTAATATCTAAATTCCTTCTCTTCTCAACATATGCATAATCATTATTAATATAAAAAATCCTAAACATTCATAAGATTTTTCAATACTAGATATCCAATATCCTCCTATACATATTCCCAAAGTTAACAGTTTCAGTTTTATTGTATAGGCCATATTAAACTAAATTACATTAATTGTGGTGTAAATTAATAAAAACGATGAGTTTGTCATATAAAAATATAGACAATACCAATTAATGATAATAATTTAACAAATTCGAGTTATTTGAGTCATGATAGCCTTACAAGATTAACTTTTTTTAATAAGAATCACTAAAAGTAAATGTGATAAGCAGTTTATGCTTAATTGAATATATAGTTCCGCATCCCTTTGACTAATAATCAATCTTACTAAGATTATTATAAATGAAATAAACAAAGTTGGGATTTAAACTAAATCCATTTCCATTTAGAATTCCTACATTTTCCATTATTAATATTATTCTGATCCAAATTTGTTGTATGAGTTTTAAAATTTCCGTATAATTTCACAAAGCATCTTCAAAATTAATTAATAATGCCATTATTATATTTATAATCAATAACAATCCATTTTAAATTATGGTTTTAAAGATCACTTTTTAGCAAGTTTCTCTTTAGAGATAGACTTTTTAACGAAAAATTAAAACAGCCATTTAATAATTCTTTTCATTTAAATTATTACTTAAATTTTGAAAAAAAAAATTTTAAAAACAAAAAATAAAATGATATCAAATTAGAAAAGATAAGCATTATAATTAAAATTATTCAGATGATAAAGATTAGTGAAAAAAATATTCTTAAATTATCTCAAAATCAAATTAACTCCTTCGCTTACCAAGATAACTAAAAAACTAATTTAATTAAAACACAATAATATAGAAGAACTTGAATGAAGGAGAGTAATAATCTCCTTAATAAAAATATCAATCTTCATGAAAATATTGATTTTATAGAAGAACAAGATGATAAGTTCATTAATTATGATGATAATAATCATAAATTCATATAGTTTTATAAGATCGAAAGTTAAAGTTTTAAAAATCCAAAAATAAAAAAAACACCTTATCTTGAAACTAATGACTTTTACTTTTGTTATACTGAGTTTATGATAATTTCTAAATTAAATTTTATTGTCTATCTTTTTTTAAACAATAGTTAGGGAGACCGCTAATCATATTTTATACTTAATTAATGTAAAATTGAAAAATTAATAACTTTTTAAGAAAATTATAGACTCATAATTCAATATTCTATTTTTTATATTATATATTCAGAATATATTATTTAAGAATCACAAAATACATAAAAAAAATTAATTATATGCTTTTATCACATTTATTTAAAATATTATTTAATTAATATATTACAAAATATAAAGTATGGAACAAATAAAGTTATAAATAAAGGCCACCGATATGGATGAAGATTTTATTAAAAAAGTTACAGATATTACTTAATCAGCTATGCAATAATTTAGAACTGAAAAATAAATCGCTCATCACATTAAATATGAATTTGATAAATTTGATTAATTTGGTTGGAATTGTATAGTAGGAAGAAACTTTGGAAGTCATGTAATTCATTAAACAAAAAAATACATTTTTTATCAACACAAAGAATTGTACTTCTTATTATGGAAGGCTTGAATAATCTGATTATTGATTATTAAAAATAAGTTTATTTACGAACTGTTTCATTAATTTTTTTTATATTTATTCATTAAAATCAGGAGATTATCCTAGGTTTAGCTATCAATATTCTAAAAAAGTCTTAAATTACTATTTAGGATAAAGAATGAACATAAAAATATATAATATCAATCATCATTAAAATATGTTATATTTAAATAAAAAAAATTAAGAATATTAAATTTTTTGGTTAATTAATTTTTTTAAAAAAGGAAGGTAAACATAGCATTCATCTTAAAATTTTTGATTAATCACAATCACAATATGCTTAAAACAGGGTCAATAAATATAATGATTAGAAAATATTTTAATATAAAAAAAAAGTTTATTTTTAACTTATAAAATAATAATAAATTTATTATTATTATGAAACAAGTAAATAATAACAACTAGTTGTAATAATTAGATCCAATAGAGGTGATTGAAAATCTAGAAACATTAAAAAAAGTGATTAAATAAAAGGATACTTAAATTAAAAATATGGAAACAGAATTTTAGGAAAGAATTAATGCATTTTAACTAGCTGTTGCAAAAGATTAAGATGGATTAAAATAAGACATAATTTAATTTTTATTAAAAGACAACGAATAATAAAAAAAGATAGAATAACTTCATATAAACTATGAATTGTAAACTTTAATTTTAATTACTTTTAGATTGTAAAATTAATTAGAAGAGACATTCATAGAATGTAACGACAAAATAAAGACTTTACTTAATATAAATGATAAAAAAGATCACGAAATAGAGCAACTTAAATAATAAATAAGAGATACTGAAGAGAGAGTAAATTAACTGAGGAAAAATTCAATTTCAAAAGATCGAAATTTATATGAAACAGAATCATTAATCAATAAAAAAGTGATTGATCTTTAAAAAAGAGAATCTGAATTGACATTTAAATTAAAACAAGCTTTGGATAAAGTAATAATAAATTCAAATATTATTAGAATGAGTAATTGTAAAACTATTTTGAAAATTATCAAAGTGAAAAGGAAGTTAAATTAATAAAATAGGTTGAACACTTAAAAAAGTAGAATAGTTCTTAATTAAACAATATCTCATCTAATTATGAAGATTAAGTTAAAACTTCAAAAGAAGTTATTGAACAATTATAAGAACATATTCTTAATTAAAAAGAAAGATTATCTTAAATTTAAGATGAGAATTAAAAATTAAAATGTGAGGTAGAAATATCAAATGCTAAAATTAATTGTAATTTTTTATTTGAAATTTAGAATTATTACTAATAATTGATAAACTTTAGGAAACAGAAGCATTACATGATAAAACAAGAAGAGAATTTTAATAGATTGAAGATGGTAAAAAATCATTAGAGAGAAATTATAAATTGTATATTAAATTATTATTTTTAGAGAAATATAAGCTTTATAAATTTAGTTAGAGGAAGCTACAAAATACATAGATTTGACTACTAATCTATAATAAAATTTAAATAAAAAAGACTAAAATATATCATATTTATAAACAGAAAACAATTAATTATAAGAATTAGTTTAAGATTTGAGACTTTAAGTATCAAGTGTTGAATAACATTTTTAATAAAATGTTGATGAATAGAGAAAAGCTAATATATTATTATCAAATAAAGAATTTGAACTTTAAACAATAATTGAAAGCTAAGCTTAAAATTTTATTGAATAGGAATAAAATTTAAAATAAAGTTATGAAGAATTGAAATTAGACTATTAAAATTTATAATATGCTTATGAATTATTAAAATAGAAGAGTGGGGAAGATTCATTTAGATTAAAGTTATATAAAACAACTGAAAAAAAAGGTAGTAGAACAATTTTTGGAAATTAAACAGGAATGATAACTGGTGAGAGAAATGATTAAAATAACAAAGAAACAATAAAAATTGATGATGAAGGTTTTTTAAAGACTTTAGAAAGTTATTAAAAATAAGATTAAGAAACAAAACAAACAAATAAAAGATTAGATCGTAATGTATATGTTAGAAGAAGTTGAGTATACTAATTCTATTTTATATTTAATTATGATAAACTTAATGAAATGAAAAATTTATCTTAAAAATGATAAAATTAACTGATTATTATATTTCATTTTGATTCTGATAAGGCAGCCTTTTATTGTTATACTTTGGCATGAGTTTCTTCCATTTTTTCATAAGCTTCTTCTAATATTGATAATAATGCTTCATGTCCATCCATTCTTAATTATCTCTCTTCTTCTAATTCGCTTTTAACTCTTATGACAACTTCTTTGAGAGTAGTGAATATTCCAACTTCAGCATCTTCTCTTTTAATAAAATATAGATTAGGATTACCTTTATTATTTGCCTACATTAACTTAATCAAATAATTTAGAAATTTCTTAACTTGCTTTTTTCACAATAGATTGATCTTCTTGAACTCTTTCTTAATTTTCTTATACATTATATTACCATAATGCAGGTAAATCATTTTATAAAGTTGTATTAATAATATTTACTTATTAATTTCTTACTTTAATTTCTTATCCTATCTATTAAAGTAACTCTTAAACCTTTGAAATTATTCATTATAATTTTACTTATTGATCATAATTGGATAAAACTTATTCACTTTGTTCTCTATTTGCTTTGACATCATCATCTAATCTTTTTTAGAGTTTATTCTCTAAATTTTTTATTTCTTTTAACTTTTTATCATGTGAAGAACTATATTATTCATTTTGTTTTTCAAATTTTTTTGTTAAATCTTAAAATTAACCTGATAATTATCCCTATTTTAAAGAAAACAAAGTACAAGTTATTCACTATAATTATTGATAATATCTTTCAATTCGCTTTAAGCTTAATTAATTCTGTCATAAATTTCATCTATTTTTGCATCTTTAGTATTGTCAACTTCGAATTAAAGAGCTCCCAATTTTTCTTATAATTTGGTGTATCTCTCATTGATTTAGGCATTAGGATCCATTTAATAATAAATAAATATAAATTTTATTTCAGTTCTAATTTTTTTTTTCAATTAAAACCATCATAATTTCTTTAATTTCATCTTCTTTGTTGCTTTCAACTTCTCCATCAGAACTAGATAATAATTTTTATTTACTTTTAAAAATCTAATGATTTACCAACAGTATCATAAGGTAATGTACATGTTGATATCACAGAAATGATAGAACTAATAGCAAAAGCTAAAAATGGTAAATGTGCTTCTTATTCAAATAAAGGTATAAGAATATATGGAGAAATAGCAGCACCTATTCTTCCAACAGCACAACTACTACCAAATCCTAAAGTTCTATTAGAAGTATGAAATATTTCTGTTGAATATGGATATAGCATTGCCCAACATTCCTTCATAAAAAATCTAGCAAAAAAATATGGCCAAGAAGCATAATATGACCATATATGCATTATAGTTGCACAAAAGAATGAAATTGTCATTGTGTTCTTTCTACCAAAAAAAGGTATTTCAACAATTAATAATGATAAAATTATTGATGGTATTTCACCTAACACTGTTGTTAAATAATCTACAAATGTTTTTTTCTTAGATCCTAAAATAAATGGTAAAATAAGTAATTATCCAAAATACATCTAACATAATATTTATTGTATATTTTTACAAAATTAATACAAAACCATATTATCCATAATCTTATAGTTGTACTTTTATTATTTTTGTTAAATAATTCTTTCATAGTTCCTCTTTACTCTGAACGAAATACTTTTGTAACCCATTTCTCTATTGCTATTCTCTCTTTCGCTGATATATATCCATATCTTTATTAAATATATATATATATTATAATATACTTAGATCCCTTAAATGGATCAGATGATATCTCTGGTTATACACTTTTAAATAATTTACTAATTATTCCTGTATTATTTTAATTTTTATGAATAATATCTTCAATAACATTTAAACCATTTACTACTTATCCACTAGCCATTAAATATCTTGGACTCTCCATTAAAAAAATCATAGATAAAATTCCAACAATTAAGGAAGTTATTGAACTTAACATCATCATTAATCTCCAATTTCCTTAATTAAAATTCTCTAAACATAAAAATGCTAATAAAAATGCATAAATTTTGCCTACAGATACAAAGAAATTTATAATTATTAAAAATCTTCCTCTTACATCTGGTGCAGTAATTTCAGATATCATTGTAGTTGTTAATGGAATTGAAAATCCTTGTCAAATTAATTGTACTTAATACCATAAACAAAACCATATCCTAATCTTGCAAAAATCATATGATAAAAATTTGTACAAACCAAAAAGCTGTTTGCCATAAAAAATTAAATTATGCAAGATATATAAATACATTTTAATCTTCCTTTACGATCTGCAATAAATCCAGTCAATAATGAACCCAATACCATTCCTTATCTATTTTGAAATAGAACACTCTACCCAAATAAAATATGCTTGTTAAGACCTAAATTTATAAACTTGTTAGTTGCCATTCAGATTTTAATATAGGCATTAAAAAACTCATTAATATTAACTCACATCCATCATTTAAATCAATAAAAACTAAAATTGATAAAGCTAAAATTTAATATCTCCCTGTTCCACACTTTCTTAATAAACTTATTATCTTACTCTTTTTTCTATCAATTAATCCAGAGATAATTTAGCATTCTCTTAATACAAATTCATTAATTAAATAATATTTAATATTATAATCTCAATTTTATTTTAAGACTTTCTTTTTATTCAAACTTATCAGGTTTCAATTACTATCAAAATCAGTGTATGAATAGATTAAAAAATACAATTATCCATTATAATATTATCATTATAATCTAAAAACCTAAACATATATTGATTGAATTCATAAAGAGTGTTATTTATATTAATTTAAAGTAGATTCGAGAAAGTATGTAAGTTATCTAACAGCAGATTCAACTTGTTCATTATCAGATTAACAATCATTATCCATAGACTAGTATAATTATTATAACATTTTAATACATGTGAAATAATTTAGTTATAAGCAGGAGGTATTTTTAATTCTTTGTCATCATAACATAAGAATTCTCTTACATTTCCTTTTGAGTCATATAATTATAAGTTTTGATATTTTTTTATATTCGTCATTTTGAAATATTTTGTTATTGTTCTTTGAGGCAAAGGTTTTTTTTTCTCAAAACTAATTGCAGTTGTACACTTTTTTATTGTTTTAGTTGCAACTATTTTATTGTTAATTTGGATGTTTTCTTTATTTACAATATTTGCAGTTAATGTTTCCTGTAGAAAATTTTTATTATAATAATTATACCCATCGTTATTTTTTTGTATTATTGAATTTTCTATTTGTATCATATAATTTAGACATTTTTAAGTACTTATAAACTATTATAATAAAAATAATATGGCATTCAAATTTAAAATTTCGTTAAAAATGCTTAGTTTAAATTCTAAAAAAATGGCGGAATATAAATTTTTGTAAACACATAAATTAATTTGAAATCAAATTTATTATTGGATTGAAACTATATTTTTCATACTGGTGGTAAATTAATATTTTGAATATCCTTTTCAGATATTTCTCCAGCTTGCAATTATTTCTATTTTTTTAAAATTTAATTTTACAATTATTTTTTGACGTTCACTCTTATTACCACCATTATGTTTAAATTTAATGTGTAAATTCAATGAAACATCTGATCCATAAAGCTTTTCACAATTTTTATAAGGACACTAAAAAATTTATAAATTCAATACACACTTTAAAATTTTTATCAATTTCAGCTGCAGTTCTTCTTTTCTTTTTTTTCTTATTAGTTGCTTCAATTTCTTAAAATTTTTACTCAATTAATTAAACCCTCTATTTTAACTCATGTATTTAAGATTAAAACTCTTATAATTAAGTACAATTTTTTTAATACAAAAACATCATTTCCTGAATAGATTATTAACTATCAAATTGTATGTTATCTATTTTAACTTGATAAAATACCCTCAAATTATTTAGGAAGTTGTTCATCCGTTATTGTATTCTTTCTTTCAGTATCATTTACTTAAACATTTTGAATATTGTAAAGATTATTATTTTCAGTAATCATATTCGATCTATAAGTCATTATGATATAGAACTTACTTCTGATTTATAATAATAACCTTTTTGGTTACTTTTGGAATTTATTAAAGCGATCTCATAATTAAATTTTATTGCTCTTCAAAATTTATTGCAATTTATTTTTATTAATTCCTAATTATATCAATAATAAATTTATGAATATTAATAGTAATTCAAAACATAAAATAAATATTTAAAATAATGACTCTAAATATAATGAAATCTTCATAATTTCTAATTATATTTTAAAATAATTGAAGAACTAAATAAGATACAAATTTCCTTCAAATATACATTTTAAATCATTCTAATTAGGGTATTATTTTCTATAAATTTTAATTTTAAAATAACGTAATCAATTACTTTTTACAATTATAAATGAGGGCAAAAAAATAATATTTTATTTATATTTTAAAGTAAATATGTCAGCTTTAAGGGCTTTCATGATTTATGATTACTAAAGAAGTTTTTTCTTTATGTTCATTAGAAGAGGTTTCTAAGTTTCTCTTAAATGGAATGGTTGTAGAAAAGAATTGGAAAATAAATTTTAAGAAATGATCAAATAGCCCAAAGAAAATTTAGAGTAATCTTCAGATTATGGAAATTTTAAATGTAAATACGATCAAAAGAATAGTAATTTGTTTAAATAAATTAAGAATGCTATTTCATATTATTAAGTAGTATTGAAGTTAAAGAAGATTATTAAAATTAAGTATTAGATGAAATTTATGAAATGATTCAAAAGATTCCAAATTATTCTAAAGTAAAATATATATAATAAATTTAGATAAAAAAAGAAGAATTTGAATAAAAAGAAACAGAAACAATTAAGTAATTTCTTGATGAAAAAGAATAAAATTATACTCAAAAATATGGTAAAGTATAAGAATTTTAGGAGCCCTTTGAATCAAAAATAGAAAGTTAAATACAATTATAAGTAATAAGACATAATTAATATGTAGAGTAATATCTAATCATAATAAAGAATGGGATCCTAAATTAATAATTTTTAAAATTAAAGAGCTGTTTCCATGATGTAGAATACATCTTCTATTAATAAATAAAGTCATGGAATTAGTTCTGATAAAGATTTAAGTGCTGATATGTTGATTAAGATATTTAGATGTTTCATGATGTGGGATTACAATAGATAATTTTTTTTTATGTTTATAAGAAAAGGATTTCCTATTGATAAAACTTGGGCCTAAGAAAGAGTAAAATTAGAAAAGGAACTTCATGCTAAATAATTAGATCCAAATGATCCTAAAGCTAAACCAAAAGAACCTCCAGAATAATTCAGTTATAGAGGAAGTTTTGGTTAATATAAAGCAAAATATGATAAAAAAGCAAGTATTGATTTTTAATATCTTAAGAATGTTACTTTATCTTGTTATCTAGATTCAAGACTAAGGAAGAACCTTAACTTAAGCTATTAGATATTTTATATGATGAAATATAAAAAGTAGAAAAATATATTACTGTAAAAAAATTTATTTTTATTTTTAGCTTAAATATGATGCTTTGGAAAGAAAGAAAAAAAGAGAAATAGAAAAAATTATTGATGAACATGAGAAGGAATAATAAAATCAAGTGAGTCAGAGATTTATAGACACAAAAATTATGGAATCTAAACTAGGTTTCCTTCATTCCCCAGAAAAAATGGATCATACTGTCTCACCTTAAAATGGATTAGCATCAAATAACAATTTGTCTTCAAAAAAAAGTTCCATTTTTGTTTCTAGCCAACCTTAATAAATTTAATAATAATAATCCCAAATCAATTCGTCAAGATTATTACAATAAAAATCTATATATCCTTAATAGCAACAATAATAGCAACCATAATTAGATGATAAAGAAAAAGATAATTTGTTAAAATAAGAAAAACAAGAAATTTAACCTAGTCCTGATCTTAATGCTGATCCAAATGCTGATGATTATATTCCTGATTATACAGAAGATGGCTTATTGGCAGAAAAAATTAATTTGTATTATACCAAACCATTAAATGTTTCTTAATACATTAAATCTGGGAATTGAATATTTATAAATAATTCAATTTTAATATAATCTGAATCATTTAAATTTATCAAATATATCTATTTACTTAAATTTATTACTTCAAAAGAAATTTTTTATCATTTTAAAACAATTTTATGTTTATCAGATTTTCATTATTTTTATTTTAACTTCGAAAAAAGAAATTAATTCTAAAATGTCCCTGAAATAAATTAATAAAGATTTTTATCAAATGAAATCTTATTTAAAATAATTATTTATCCTTACAAATAGTATTTTTGTATTTTTTCCAATTGAAATTTGGAAAATAACTTTAGAATAATCTAAGAAAAATAATTGAATTCTTAAGAATAAAATTCTAATATTTTCATATTCTTGAAATGCTGAAATAAATTTTAAATTTATTCCCCTTTTATTCGAAATTCGAAATGATTGTATCATAGATAATCAGAATAATAAATTAGTCCTTTTAATATACATTTAAATTTATCAAATAATAGCTGAATCAAAAATAATATCTAATTATAAATAAATTGAATTTTGTTCAACGTTTACTTCATATATTAATTTAAAATTAGGTATTTGATCGAGTTCTAAATTGAGAATGCGACCTTTATATCTAGTTGAGAAAGCTAATAAAGAAGACTAAGTATTTATATAAGAACTTTGCTTTTTGATTATGCTGATTAGATGATTTTATTTTTCTTTAGCAATTATTTTTTTTTCTGAGCTTGAATGGGTCGATTTTAATTAACAAGACTTTGTTTATGGTAAAATTAAGTCAACTGATTATATGGCTGATTCTTAATAATTATAATCATTTTCAAAATGCTTAAAAGGTGTTTTGCTTCTATGTAAAACTTTTCTTCCTCCTTTGTGAATTTTCGAAGGATAATTTTCTTACCCTATTTTAAGGTTTTCTAATTTGATTTCATCATTATCAGAATAATCTATAAAGTTTTTTTAACATGATGAACCCATTTATATATAAAATACAAATAATTGGAAAAAAATTGAATATCTGTTACCTATTATACATAAAAATGTAAAATAAGTAATAATTATGTATAATAATTAATGTTATATATGAATAATGATATTTTCATAACTTAAATTAAAAATTTGAGTTAATAAGCAATAAAATTATACTCTTGAAATGCAATCAGGGTGCAAAATAACTCTTCATTTAGCCTGTAGAAAGCTTAAAGATAAAGATACATTTTCTAAATCAGATCCATAGATTTTAATATTTGGAAAATAATTTAGAAATAATTGTTTAGATCAGAATTGGTCTATAATTGGTAAAACTGAAACAATATAAAATAATCTAAATCCTAATTTCTAAACATCAATAATTTTAGATTATATATTTGAAATTAAATAACCATTAAGATTTGAAGTAAGAGATGTAGATGGTGATAATTTTGATGATCTTGGTTTTGTTGAAACTACAGTTGGTATAATTTTTGGATCAAGAAATTAAACTTGTATACTTGATTTAAATTAAGGAGGTAAATTAATAACTATGTGTGAAAAAAATCAAGATTTAAATGAATTATATATAATGCAAATAAAGGGATCTAATTTAAAAGGATCATGGTGTTCACAACCAAACCCAAGTTTTAAATTATATAAATGTACAAATTCAAATGAATTCTTCGCTTATTAATCAGAACTTGTACATAAAACTTCAAATCCATCATGGAAAACTTTTTAAATGAAATAATTTAAAATTGGTGATAAATTTAAATTAGAAGTTTATAATTCAATAAATAAAATAATAGGATCAAATTATATAACAATAGAGTAATTAAAGAAAGAACAAAGAGAATTCTACTTAAGTAATAATGGTGGATTGATTTAATTCTTATAATTTGAAACATTATTTAAATATACTTTTATGGATTATATTTAAGGTGGAACATAATTAAATTTGAGTATAGCTATTGATTTCACATTAAGCAATAAAGATTAAAAATAATACGATAGTTTACATAGAATATATTCTTAAAATTAATATGCATAAGCATTAACAAGCATAGGAGAAATATTATTAGCTTATGATTATGATAAATAAGTATCATGTTATGGTTTTGGTGCAAAATTAAACTTTCCTAATTTAAAAACAAATACTTTAAGTCATTGTTTTCCATTATCAGGAGATCCAAATAATACAAATGCATAAGGCTTAGATGGAATAATGTAGATGTATTAGAATGCATTAAATTATTTAATTTTTTCTGGACCTACATATTTTGGTCCTTTGATTGTTGAAGTAATGAAATAAGCTACTTTTATTAAATAATAAGGATTAAATTAATATTTAATATTATTAATAATAACTGATGGAGCAATTCATGATATGGATCAAGTTGAATAATATTTAGAATAAGCAGCATTTTTACCTATTTCAATTATCATTATTGGAGTTGGAGATGATGATTTCACTTTAATGAAAAGATTAGATGGAGATGTTTGTATACATTTTATTATATTTTAGCTGATGGATTAATGATGTAATAAATTAATAAAAGAGATCTTGTATAATTTGTTCCATTTAGAGATTTTAAAGATTCTATGTTATTGGCTAAAGAAGTTCTTGAAGAATTACCAGATTAATTAGTGAATTATATGGAAATGTAAGGAATTAAACCTGGACCATCTCCAGTTCATTAAATGCAGGACTTTAATATGACATAATAGTAAATTTCATGATAAAAAATATTAAGATATATCCATTATTATTATTACTACATATATTATAAATATTTTAAAAAATAATTTGTATCAATCTAATATATTATATTCTTTTAAATTTTTGGGAATTTCATATTTGAATTAATTAGATATATTAGGTTATTATTAGAAATAAAGTTAAAAAATAATTATTTAGTTGAACATCTTTTCAGAAATTTTACATTTTTAAATTAAAAAATATGATCAAGTTTAACTCATATAAATATAAATTTAAATTGAAAGATTTTGATAAAACTTTAAAAATTACAAAAAAACAGATAATTTTTAACAAATAACTAGTTTTGACATTGACTATTAATATTAAAAATAAGATTATATCATTCTATTTGATTAGGTTCTTATTAATGTTATGCTTCTTATTCAATTTGTTTATTTTATTATTCCTCTTCCTATTTAATATATTAATTGTCATCTTATTTATTAGGTTATTCATCATTCTATTTAATAGATTAATCTTTTTCTTTTTAATTAAGTTAATCTTCCTATTCCTTTAAAACTTAATCTTCCTTTTCCTTAATAACTTAATCTTCCTGTTCCTTTGTTAATATATCTTCATCCTACTTAATAAGTTGATCGTCCTCTTAAGATTAAACAATTTCTTCTTATATTTCTTCTTTTTCAATATCTTCTTCATTTATTAATTCAGAATTTTTATTGATGATTTCTTAAGTGTCTTTTTAATCTTATTCGTTTATTTTCAACTATTCTTCTTGTTATATATTGATTTCATTTTATTATTATTATTCTTATTAGATTTCTTGATTATTAACATGATCATCTGAATTTTATTGATTTATTTATTCTCTAACAATTTAATGATCTAATATTAAAGCTTCCTCATAATTTTAAGCATCCTCCAAATTAATTTCCTAATTATCATTATCATTTTCAGGTACTTCTTAAACTTAATTAATTTTATCAGATTCTTATTATTATTATTATTATTATTATTATTATTATTATTATTATTATTATTATTATTATTATTATTATTATTATTATTATTATTATTATTCTGTTATGTCTTCATTTAGTTTTTCTTCAGAATCTTATTAAATATCTTCTTCTATTTCCGCTACTTCTGGATCTACATCTTTAGGTTATACAACATCATTATCATCAGAACTAATACATTTTCTGATTCCTTAGATAGCATGATTTTATTCTTAAGTTTCTTCTTTAATATTTGGACTTATTAATTCTTCTATTATTTTTGATTCTTTTTATCTAGGATTTATTCCTAATATCCATTCTTATTCAACTTTATTAACATTTGCTAATCCCTTTATATATTCATCCCAATCTATTTATATGGTTGACACTATTATTCATAATAATTTTATACATAACTCTAAAATTGTTTAAAAAGAATTTGACTTATTTTTATTCTTATCTAAATAATTTGTCAATCTTGTCAAAACTCCTTAAAATCCAAATTTATTTTATCTAGCTTTTTCATCATTGTTTTATATTATAAATAACAAAAGATTTGTATCTTCAAAAATTAATTTATGTAAATATTCATCAGAAGTTTCTACTATAGACATTATCAATCTCTCAAATAATAAATGTAATTAATTATTATTAGGATGTAATTTGACTAAGTCAATTACCTTAGAAAATAATTCAGCAGTAAAAAATGAATGAAATTCTGATTTATTAATTAATGAAACAATTAATTAAATTATAAGTAATTTTGCATCTCCCAATGGATATACTTCAGTTCCATTAGATAAAACAAATGGAATCCTGAAACTATCTACTTAACTTAATGCTTTTTCAAACAATTATATTACTGGTTTGTATAATTAAATTAAATTTATATTAACATCATGGTTTTAATCTAATAAATAAAATTTATTTAGAAATTCAAATTAAACATTTAAAACATTATAAACAACACTCTATTATGTAGCTAATGCTATATTCATAAAAAATAATGGCGTTGTTGTAACTGTAAATTATGCTAACATATTTTTTATTTCTTAATTTTATGTATCAAATTAATTGATAGACTTTTTATACAATTCCACAAATAATTCACAAATATTTCCAACTATCACTTAAGAATGTTATTTCCCTTTTAGATATACTACCAATCTTTATAATAAACTTGATCTTTCATTCATATATTCAATTGATTAGTCAAAATTATCTTCTAATAAAATTAATTTCTCAAATATATCTACTATATGTTTAAGATAAGCATGTTTAAATAAGTTTGAAATAATATCTGGATAATGTTTTAAATGTTCCCAAAACTTATTATAATTAAATATTTATATACACTATGTCCTTTTTTATTTATTATTGCATTAACAACTTTTGAAAAATATCCTGCTGTTGTTACTATTATAGCATCATTTTCAAGCAATTTCAATAAATTCTCCAATAAATGAGCTCTAATTATCTCATTTTCTTAAATATTATTATTTTATTCTTATGATTCTATTTATTCTGTCTCTTCATCTTCAATTGGATTTTTTACATCTTCTAGTTATGGTTTATCAAATAAAAAGTTTATTAATTTTTCATTTTCAGATCCTAATATCTCACTTCCATAAAATGGATATCTTAAAACTATCAAATATATTTATACTTCACACATCTATTTCTTTCTGTTAATTAATCAGGAATCTCTTCAACTATAAAATTGATCATCTTTTGATATTCTTAGGGATGTTATATTAAACTAAAATCAAATAGATTTTATACAAATCAGCAAATTTAGAAGAACTTGTTCCTTTCAATTCTTGGAGAATATCATCTTCATTAAAAATACACTCTATTGTCAAATTCTCTTTCTTCAACAAATTATCAAATTTTGGCTGTTAACCAAATCCAAAAAATCGACCGAAACTTAAATCATCTTCAAATTTTACTTGAAAAACATCAATGAATTAGATTATATTATTAAATATTTATTAATTATATTTCAATCACTATTTTATTGCTTTTTTATTTGATTTTCTACTTTGCTTATTTATTTGATTTTCTACTTTGCTTATTTATTTCTATTATTCTATATTCATAATTATCTAATTGGATAATTGATTTTAATTATGATTATTTTTCAAAATTGCCAATTTCTAATACTTATATAACTAATAAATTTTTTAAAATGTTGACTCTAAAATATATATTTTAGAAAATAATATACTAATCGAAATTAATAATGAAACAATATTTACAGAAAAATATTCATGGCTATTTTCATATTAAATATGGCTACATTATATAAGAATATAAATATCAGTTTCATTAAAAATCTATCAAGATCCAAATATGACTATTTAATATCAACCATAATCAATAAAAATTTTTTTGAATAAACTTATTCTCATTAGTAATCTAAAATTTGCCAACTATTTGATTAATTCCTTTTGAAAATTACAAATTTCTTATTTTATATCATTTCATAATGAGTGAGAACTATATAATTTTTTTTAATTAATATCCATATAATTGGGAATTATGATCTCATATAGAAATAAAAAGGATCAAAAAGAGAAATGCAAAATATCCTGAACGAGTAAGTTAGGTAATGAACATATTCTATTTAGAATGATGAAGAATTATGTCGAAAAGAAATAGAAAGTCAAAAATTATGTTTTATAAAAATTAAGAATTTGAATGAATTGAACTAAATTCATATTAAAAATTGCCTTAAAAACAGGTACAAATTTTAGTAAGTAAATATAGATATATTAGAGAATTTAATGGAAAATATTTAAAGATCAATGAATTGATTTTATTTTGGTATTAATTGTTTTATATTGATATTTATACAATAATTAATTATGAATATTTATAAAACTTTAGGCAAAGTTAATTGTTTTGGATTTTCTACATCAGCAACTTCAATTTTAAATAAGTTTGGACAAACTTATTATATTAATAATTATGAAAATACATTTAATCAAAAGAGTATTTTACATGAAAGTCTAAGTAATTTGATTAATATAAATTTGATAGAGATTGGCAATAAAACTTGTAATTTAATAGGAATTCCTCGTAATGGAAGTTAAGATGAATTAACAAAGAGAATGTCTGATATAATAACAAAGGATAAAGATAAAACAAACTTTTTAATATAAATGGATCCATCACCATATTTATTTGCTAAAAGATAGCTATATAAATAATATCATTAAAAAGTTGAACCTATAATAAATGATGTAATAATGGAGATTATAATAGAATTTATTTGAATAATTACCAATTTTGCCAATTGATACAAATGAATTGAAAATTGACTTACCAATTTTTGATTCAATTCATTTAATCAAGGCCAATCCTACATTGAGTTCAGAATAAAAGTAAGCTATATTAGGATATTTAAATGGTGAAAGACTTGGTTATTATTAATAGGTTTTTTAAAGTCTTTAAGAATTTAAAAATAATTAATAAGAACTTACTCCTAAATTATTATAAGAGAGTGAAGTTATGTCTTAGAATCTGGCATAATTATTAGAAATTACTCTATTATATACAAATTAATAGAGTAGTGTAGATTTATCTTAATTTGGTTTATTCTAGGCATTATATCGGACAGTTTTAAAAGGTTCTAAAGTTTATATGATTGGATTATCTTAAATATATTAAAGAATTTATATTGGAATAATAATGTAATTGCCAGATGTTAAAGATATGATCAAAGAGTTTTGCGAATATTCATTATAAAGTAAATATAATAATTTGAATTACTTTTATGAATTTTCAACAATGATATGGATTGAAAAAGCTATTGAATATTATATGTTATATAGTATAAATCGATTTTTGAAACGTAAAGAAGAGAATGAAGTTACTGTTGTAGTAGATTCATTACATTTTGATCCTTTGAAGAGTGCCATTTAATAATAAAAGAATAAATTTGTTAATGAATGCGAAAATAGTTATTTCTATGAATTTCAATATCCAGATCCTGAAAAATAAGAAACAGATGAATAAATGATTGAAAAACATGCAATTTTTGATTGTCTATTGGATCATTAAATTTGGAGAGAACCATGTATAAACAATCCTTTTCCATATTTATCAATCAATTACAATGAAATGAATACTCTAGAATAAAAAGAAATTTAATCAATATTCTATAAATATCATTTAAAATATTCATTAATTCTAAACTAATTGAAGTAGTAAAATAAAATGTGATGTATATTATTTAAATTTAATATATTTAATGTAATAAAAAAAATTCATTAAAGATTATAAGTAATTCGATGGTTTTGAAAAAGTTGGAATAAACTTTCTACCTTGTACTATAAATAAAGGAGGAGAGTGTCCAAGTGAATAATATTTTAATCCAAAAGATGACAAGGTTGTTATTCATGGAAGAGAATTAACTAAACATATTATTAAACCACAAAAACCATTATATGTATTTTAATAACAAAAGGATGGTACAAGAATTATTAGAGGAGAATTTTAAGAAATTAATAAATGGATATATCATGGAGATACTAAACATATAGAATAAATATTTTAATTTCCAAATCTTATGGAGACGCTTCATAAACCAGTTAAATGAACTTAATTTATTTTTTCATTTTATGAATCTTATAAACACACTTAAGTTGACTTATGTTTTTTTTTTATTTCTAAAACATTTAAGTTATAATATAAGATTTAATATATAGAAATATCATTAATTTTATATTGAAGGACTTATCGATCTATCAGTGTTTAAAACTTATTAAATAGGAGAAAGTTTCCTTGAAAGGTTCTCTAATTACTAAATCAATTTTTCATAAAATTAAACTTCAGGATTTTGAATTTTTATATTTCTAATTTTTTATTAGCTTATTTTTAATTTGATATCTACAATAACATTTTGTAATTGCATTTAAAATTATTAATATAACTATTATTTACTTTCTTGTTTAAGCAATACTTCATTATTCTATTTTTTTAAATATTCCATATTTCGCTTTAATGTATCAATTTCTTAATTTTTGATTATGACCTATCCTGTTGCTTATTTAATTTGTCTAACACTCTCCTCATCAATTTTCATTTATTTATTAAGTTCTTCTTAACTATTTTATGCATAAACCATTTTTGCCAAATAAATAATATCTACTGTTTAATTATAATGTGATGAAATTGGATTAACAGTTAATATACAATAATATTTAAATTACATACTTACTGTATGAGTACAGATCTTTCTTAAAAATTTTGGAAACTAACATCTTGGTACTGTTGGAACTGTTGTAATAATTAATTATTTAGTGTATGTTTGCTCTTTAAAAATGATGCTATATTATATTGTTAATTATCGAATTTTCTCTTTGCCTATAATCTTTGCTTGTTAGTTTTTACCATATAAATAAAACTTTATGTTTTGAATTAATAAATCTAATTATTATAAACTTGAATTTAGGTTATCATTTTCTATTTATAAATCACTCCCTAATTAATCAAGAGTTGACCAATTATTTCCTATTCTTTCTTAGTACTAAATTTATATTCTAATTTTTTTATTTTACTAAAAATTCTACTCTTTTATTGAATTATAATATGAATCTAAAAACATCAATAATAAGAATTTCTTTTAAGTTTCTACTTAAATTTATATACACATACTTGATTAACCTACAATCAGATACATTCTACTGTAATCTAAACTTATTTTGCCGTAAAATTAGAAATACTATCTCACTTTTTGAATATCTAAAAAGATATCATCAAAAGTAAATGTTTCAAATATTTGTTTTTCTATTCTGGTTTTTCTTTGAGAATAAAACTTTATTTATCTAAAATAATAGATAATTCTTACTTTTTATTAAATTCAATATACGGGAATTAAAAATTCTTTTAGAATTTTACAACTAAGTAGAGTTCTATATAACTCAATTAAATAATATTATTATTAATTTAAGAGATTATTGTTAAATTATTGTCAATAGTTTTATGTCTTGTTTAATTAATTAAAATTTAAGATTGAAGCTATTCTTCCAATAGATTATATTCATTTTAATTTTTTTCATATTATTACTTCATTTCATTTAATTGATTTAAAAGATCATCATTCTATTTTGTAAGCTATTAATTAACTTTTTTTAATTTTTCTATTAATTCTTTCATAAATAAATTTTCTCTTTATTAATCATCTATTTATTATGATTCACATAAATTTAAACTAATACTCAATAATTCTTATACTGAAATTATTTTGATTTCCTTGGCTAAGATTGTTCAAATAAACTAACTCTTTTTCCTAATCTTTGTTAAGGATTTGGTTTCTAATTTGACTCAATCTTTTTTTATAAAAATTTATTTTATTATTTCAAGTTAGAAACTTCTTTTTCATAATTTTTTAAAAGTAAATCTAAATCTTCATTTTTTTTTCTTAAAAAATTAATGATTTATATGTTACTTTATTTATTAAAATAGATCTTCCTTAGAATAATTAGTTGTATCATTATTAAGCCACATAGATCCAGATAAACTACTCTCTATTAATTCTGTTTATGTATTCTTTTCAATTAATTCAATTTAATTAGTTATAATTTCTTATTCTTTTATTTCAGGTTATATTTGACATTGTTAATCAGAGGAAAGCCTATTTACAAAATTTTCTAATTACAATTTTAATTGTATCATTTCTTTCCTAAAATAATTCTAATTGCATACTATTAATTAATAAATTTTTCATCAATTGTAAAATCATATAATTTTTAATAATATTGTTCAGCAGTTTTACCTTATGGTTAATATTAAGTATTTTGAGATAAAATAGCATCAATCATATCTTTGATATTTAAAATTTCTGATTACAAATAAGCTTTTTCTTATTTATATTAATGAATATCTCTTTAACACTATTCTTTATGATTTAAATATTCACTACGATTCTCAGAAAATTCCGATTATAATTTCTATAATTTTATTGGAGATTCCTCTCCTAATTATTATTAAATCTTCAGCTATGTTTATAAATCAGCAATAATCTCCTATTTTATAATATTATCAGATTTTAATATTTCAATTTCTTACTTTAAAAATAAATTCTAAGATTTTAAATCCTAAAATTATAGATTGTTATTATTTAACTGTTGTATTTATTGTAAACTAATTTAATATTGATCTTAAATCTATTCATTGCTATAATTTTGTTTTTTTAATTATTCTTGTAAAAATAAACATTATTGATTTATTATAATCAATTATTCCTTGCATGTATCATAATCAAGCAATTATGAAGCTTATTTTGTTAATATTTCATCTTTTGATCGGAATTACTCTTACACAAATTCCTTAAACTACTCAAAATCTTCTTTTAACTCTAAATATTGAGTCTCAAATTTGTTATGCATTTTAAATTCTTCTAATTCCTCTGTCTTTGAATTTAACAATAACTATAATTAAACATTATCTTATTATATCATTTCAAATTATTGAAGTGTCTATTAAACTAATTAATATTCTGTTTATAATTTTTATTTATTTTAAACTACATCTGCATATTTTTATTCAAAAGTAATCAATTCATCTTCAAGGGATTCTACTTTTACTTGCTCTTCATTTATCTCAATTTATTTTTATTCAATTTCTAATTGAAATTCCTCATTTATTTAATTTAACTTTTATATTTATTATTTTAATTATTTGATTTCATTGCTAAGTATTTCAATTTTAGCTTTACTTTGTTCATCTTAATTTTATAATTCAATTATCAAGTCTTACATTTATTTAAATTCATCATCATTTCTTGATTTCTATTCACTTTTAGGTGATTCCATAAGATCGAGAAAATTTTCTATATTTTCTAAATTACTTTTTTAATTTTATTTTTGTTCGTTTATATTTATGTTTTACAATTGATCAGATGATTATTCAAAATTTAATTGAATTTGAGAGATCTAATTTAAGTTTAATTTTTTACGTCATCTTATTCTCTCTAAATTAATTACGAATAGTTATCATTAGTTTTTGACTCAATTTTCTATATATTATTAAAATAAGAAATACTTAAGAATTTAATAGTAACTCTTAATTTTATTTTTTAAACTGCTCTATTTATTTCTTCATCTAATCTATTTCTTTATTATTCCTTTATATTAATTAATAATACTAAATTATTAGTTCATTTTTTTCTTTTTAAAGTTAAATGATAACATCTTATAATTTATCAATTTCACCATCACTTGAAGTTGCTTCTTTTTTCTAAGAGATCAATTTATTGGATTATTCTTCATGATCTTCTTTTATCACTTCTATTTCTAAATTTTTATCATCTATTTGATTGCTAATTATTCTATAAATTTTACTTTAATACAGATATTTATTATTAAAGTAATGCAATTTAGCTCTAAAATTTATCTATTTAGTTTTAATTATTATCATTTTAATCCTTCTTAGAATCTGTTCCTACTAATTTTAATTTAAGAGATGCAATTTCTTAATCTTTTTTTTCAATATTTGCTTTCATCTATATTATTTCTTTTTCTTTGATCTAATTATCACTTTAAAGCATCTCAATAATTTTATTTAAGCTATATATGATAAATCAATTTACTCATTTTTTTCTGTTGACATAAAAATATAAGTTTTATTTTAATTAAGATTAAAAACATATTCATTGAATCTAAACTATTTTATAGATTTCTTTTAAATCTATTATCTAAGAATGATTACTAATTTTCTATTACTTATAAAATTTTTATTCATATTTTCAAGGTTAGTTGAAAGATTTATCAACTATATTTTTTTCTTACTTATTAAGAAAGAATATTTATTTAATGCATTTATTTAAGTAAATAAAAAATTACATCATTTTACAAAAAATATTTTGAAGTATATAATATGGTCGGTTAATTTTTTTTAACATAAAAGCTAGCTTTCCTTTCTTAAAAAGTAACCCTTTTTTAATTATAAACAAGAACTTTATTAATTATTAATTATTTAATAATGTAAAAACAATAAGATGAATAGCAAGATGGTTTTGTGAGTTTTATGCTGGAAAAAGAGGATTCTTAACTAATTAATCCTGATGAAACTTTTCTATATTAAAACAATAACTAAGACTATAATTTATAATTGAGTAGACAGTTCTATGGCTAAAGAAGAGAAGGTATTTATGATACCAATATAAAAGCATAAAAATCTAATCAGATAAACCCAGCATTGATAAAATAAAAAATTATATAAAGAGCTATTATTACAAATAAACAAAGAGGAAAATTCGCTGCTTCTGTACCGACTGTCAGTGAATAATTGCAAAAGGTATTAGTTTTTTGTAATAATCTATTCCCTATTATAGTAAATCTAAAAGCTCTTATCGTCAAGTAAACCTAAAATGTAAACTAATATCAAAACTAGCCTTGCCAATAAATTTACTTATAACAAAAATTTTAACTAAATAAAAAATTCTAATATCTAACAGCATCATTTTTAGCTGAATTTACCAATTACAAATAAAAAAATTAATATATATGAACCAAGAACTCATAGATTACGAATAGAAGATTCTAATCCTGACTAATTGAATCATTTTACATAAAATTCTTATAGGAGTACATTAAATAGTAGTACAAAAAGCACTGCAAAATTAGAAAAAATTTATGATATTACCTATCCAATTAAAACAGAGATAGGAGATGACAATAAAATAAATATATTCAAGATTTCATATAGAAATAAATAATAATGAAAGTAGCATCCATATTTTGATTTTTCAATAAACATTCAACAAAAATTAAACATTTCATTTTATATATCAAAATTATCTTGATGTTGAAATTTCTATTGTGTAAAAATTATTTTAAGATGATATTCTTTTTAATTTGATATTATGACAATAAATTTAGTATCAAACCTAACTTTGGTATTAAGACATTTTACAGAAATATTTATATGATATAGTATCATGTTATTTATAAGTTCAAGAATAATTAAAATAATGTTTTTTTAATACATGTTTAAGTAATTTTAGTTTTCGTAAAAAAATTAATAAAACAATGAAAATGAAAAATATGAAACTTAAAGAGCAGATATTTTAATGTTTTTTAAGATAATCATCTTGTGAAAAATTTTCCACCTTCTTTATTTCTTGAATATCCTGGATTTGTGCTTTTGGAATGAGCATCATTAAAAACATATGGTGATTTTCCAATTCCTGGCAAACAATAACTAAAAATATATATAATAAGATTACTGATTAAACTCATATTATTTAAGCAACTTTAACCTCTTTAGGTTTTGAACTTAATTTAGTAATCCTCTTTTCTTAAGAATTATATCTCCATTCTTTACGATATCATCAATGATAGGATTTTAGATAGCAGCTTTAGGTACAGAATTAGTCCTTTCATCAAATAATAATGTTTATTGGAGATTTTTTAATGTAACAGTTTTCTTATTATTGTGATTTATGTTGTTTTAATTGTAATTCTAATTAATTTATTAAGATGTCTAAATATTATCATCAAATTAGACAGTTTAATTAGGTTTTTCGTTTTTCATGTAGTTTTATTGAAAAAGCCCTGGGTTATAGGCTGTTTTGCTTCTATTTTTATCTGTCTCAATAAATTTATCTAAAATAGAAGTTTTTGGTTTTGCTTAATCTTTTTAGATTAATTACTCTACTGCATTAGGTTATACAGACATATAGACTTAATATTAATCATTAACTTGCAAAGGCTCATTTTGGTATTAGAAGGTTGGTAAGGTTTTATTGTGAATTAATCTATAATTTTTAGCACTCATAATAATAATAATTATTTATAATATTATTTATTCAATTTAGCATTTCGAATAAGTAATTTTAAGCATCAATAACAGTTTATGTAGCTTCTTTCATTCCATTAATTATATCAAAAGATAGAAATCCGTGAGGCATAGATTGATATTCAATTAATTTAACATCTTTTTTCAATTTAACAAGTCTTAACAATAATCTGAAGCTTTCATCATGAAGTGGATCATAAGTTCCAACAACAATTCTGATTTTAGGAAAACATTTCAGAATTTCATCACTAACTATAGATGGAGAAATCATAGGATCAATAGTTTAATTAAATTCTTTTTAAACATAGGAATTTAAACATAATTTTAAAACTGTGTGATGCAATACTTAATATTATAAATTATTTTACATGAATCATCAAGAGAAACTAAAAAACTAGGAGTGAATATCTTCATATCTAATGATAAAGCAGGATAAGCTAACAATATACCATCAGGAACTCTGACTCCTGCCTTTATTGCTTAGATAGTTAAAGCAGCAACTAAATTTCCACCTGCACTATCTCCTACTAATACCACTTTTTAAGGTATAACATTAAAGAACTTTTGAATAAAAGTAATAATGAACATATATGCCTACCAACAGTCGTCTAATCCTTCAGGATATGGATGATCTGGAGCCATTTTATAATCAATAGAAAAAACTGGAACTCTTAAATTGTTAGCCCATTTTCTAGTATAAGTTTAATGTGATCTTGATGACATAGCAACAAAACCTCCTCCATCTATACTATTTATAATTATAATTTACGTATGTGGATAATTATCTTATCAAAATTGTATTCTTTACTTATATCATTTTTAAACATCGACATGAATCCTTCAACACATTTAAATTTCAGAGTTTCATAACATAAAATTCTTACTTAAACTCTATCTTAATTTAAATCATTTTCCAACAAATTATCTAATGATATTAATTCGTCTGGAAAAAATATATTTAAATCATTATTAATTTTATTTATTTTTCCTTCTTTATATTATTCCAAAATATATGCTTTAGTTATTTATGTAAATAATTTTGGAATATAAATTTTTTTATTGAAAGAAATTGAAGGGAATATTGCTGGAAGGAATCTTTTTATTATACCTGTTTCTGTTAAATTCCAAGCTCTAAATGCATCTTCTTATTTAGCTTTAGCAAGAAAATGATTGGCTCTGCTTTTCATCTTTTTCTTATTTAAACCATAATATAATGCTCCAAATCCCTCCATAAAAGCCTTTTTTAATTCTCCATTATATTCTAATCCTTTTGATATCATAGCATTTCCAAGAAGAACTCCAAATGTTACTTTATCATAAGAGTTCTTTATTTATTCATTACTAGCTAATTGCTTTTTTTCAATGAAAGCATTTATCATTTACCAATCCTAATGGTCAGGTGCTATTGCAAATAAATCATCTTATTTCACTATTGTAGCTCCTGGAAGAATTTCATTACAAGACTATAATTTGGCTAAATATATTGCAAGAGTTCTTTTCTATTCTTTCTCTAATATTTCAAACTAATTTAATAACTCTAAAACTTTTTCTAAAATTATGTGATTCATATAATCCAGTACCAAATTTGTCGAATATTTATTTAACTAATCAATTGTACACAGAATTTTTTAACAACTAACACTTTACTCAACGGTTAATACCTTATTTTCAAGTAATTCATTGATTTTCATAACTTACATTAACCCTATTGAAGCTACTTAAACTACTTGGACAGCTGTCTTATATTAATCATCATTCAAGTGATTTTATAAAGTTATATCTTTAGCTTTAATCAATAATTATTTAAACTTTGAAATAGAACTTTAAATGTTGACTTACAATTTATCGACAGAATTCCTTGACAGAATACTAATTTAATGATTTGGAACAATAAATAATTCACTATATTGCTCTTTATTGATGTTCTATAAGACCTAATCGTCTTCAATATCATTTTGTTTTATGGTTTACATATTTTTATAATTTAATTTAAATCTTAAAGATTATTATATATATATTTATTTGAAATAAATTTATTATAATTGTAGGAAGATTAAAAAAAAAGATGATTCCATATTGGATATTATTTTCATTTCTTTTTCTTTTTTAAACTTAATATAAGGTTACTAAAATTAAAGAAACAAAAATACATTGATATCCCTTTTTTAATTTTTCCAAACTTTTAAAATAAGGGTTCTTAACCATCTACATTTTCAATGATTTCTCTGCTTTCAAAATTGGAAATTCTTTCATCATCAAAACTGTTTTGTTGATGTTATAGAATATCTTATTTACTTCCAAAACGATCATCACAGATAGATTTCTAGTAATTAGGATTTATTGATTAACAACAATTTCCAATACTGCTTTATTATGTCAAACTAGAGTTCTTTCTAATATCATCTCTTTAAAAAGAATTATTCCTTGATGATAAAGGAGGTGGTGCTAAAAAATTTTAAGAACTCCAATTTAAAATTAAATATTATACCCAAGTTAAATAGCACCAGATAATTATTTTTCAATAGATTTCTTCATCTCATTTTAATTGTTGAATTAAATATTTTTTTTACTTAGATTTTAATTTGTATCAGTTTGATAATGTGTGGATTATCTTATTTCAGACCATTCATAATGACCATCTACAATAATATTCTAAGATTCTGCTGCTTTTCTGAGTTCTTGTATAATAATCTTATAATCAGGTTCTTATTTAAATTACAATCGTCTAATTAAACTATTTTATTTAAATAAGTAGAAATTTACTTATAAATCTTTTAAAACTCTGGAACTTAATCTTTAAAGAGTTCATTTTCTAATGATAGCTTTAATTCTCCAACTTTTTGTGTTCTTTCATCATCTGTTACATTAACCATGTTCTACCATGGTAACTACCTTATTTATAATTGTTATTTACCCACGTAGAAAGTAAAGTAAAATATACATGAGAGATTCTAAATCATCTTTTCGACCTAATTCATGACCTAAATGAGCTGCAATTGAAGCATATCTAGTAGTTCCTAAAAAAGACTTTTAATCTTTGAAAATGCTAAGTTCTATTTTAACTGTTACATATGTCTTCCATTAGCATCTCTATACACTTTGCTAATCCCAAAATCAATCAAATATAACTTAGAAATTTGATTACCTATACCTAATATCATATTTTCAGGTTTTAAATCTCTATGTATTACTCCTTTTTAATGGGCTCTCTCCAAAAGATTAACAGCTTGTATTCCAATAGTTAAAACTGATTTGAGATTAAATCTCTTGAGTTATTTGAAATGGAATGCTAAATCTTTGCCCAGCAATTAAATTACTAAGATGTTATAACCAAGATCTTCCCCTGACCAATAATATTTAGGAAATCCCTCTATTCCATCTAGAATCTTTAAAATCTAAACTTCTCTATCCAAAGATTTGACCTCTTCGTTCTCTTCTTTTTCTACTTTTATAGCAACATCTTATTTCGAAATAATGTCCTATCCAAGAAATACTACTCCAAATGAACCAGAAGAAAGCTTTTTGACTATGGAATACTAGTTATTAAACACTTTGTTTTTTTATTACTGCTATGGGTTCATTTCAATTAATAATAATTTCTAAAATAAGCAAGAAATGTCTCAATTTACTAAAGCAATAACTCCTAAGAAAATCTTTATGGTTGAAAAAGGATTCTATTCAATTAATTTGGAGGATGGAACTATTTAGAAGTTAGGACCTGAAAAGAAAAGTTACAAGTTACCCTCCTATTCTTCACATACATCACCAAAAGTACAAAAAGATTTACTAGTAACCTAAGGATAATCAAATTAAGATTCTAATCATAGAGTACTCAATATTTTTACTATAACTAGAATAACTAATAAGTGAAGAAGGTTTAAGAAAATACAAGAAATCTTAATTCATAAAGGAATAATTGACAAATTGAAGTTTAGAATTTAATTATTAATTACAGATCAATCATATTCTTAGTATTTAAAGTATTTACAAGATTGCGAATTTCATAATAATCTACTGAAATTAGCATAATTTGTTTTCTTTATTAAAAATTATTTAAACTTCAAAAAAAGGTTGTCTCTGCATCTAAGTTTAAAAATGAAGAACTATGATTTAAATATTGAGAATTCTTTCATTTAATTATTTAAACATATATAATTATTATATTTAATGATATTATAAGTTATATATATCAAATTTCATTATATTTTTCCTCTTTTTTTTTCTTTGTATTATTCTCTTGGGCTTTAGCCAATTGTTTCAAAAAAATAAATTTTTAATAAATTCTCAAATCATAATTAATAGTTAAAAACAAGATCTTTAATTAGAGATTCATATTGTGTCTCAATTTATTTTCTGCATTATGGATTAAACAATATTTTCAAAAACGCTTTGAATTGGGTCCAAAATTATGAAGGAAATACCAACAAGGACCCACTTAATTATTCAAATATTCTTTCTCTTTTCAAAAAAGCTAAATGATTAAAATAATTACTTTGTAAAAAGGGTAAATTCAATATAAAAAGCAATACTATGGTTCTTTATATTAATTTCAGTGAAAGATTACTTTAGGTAATTTTCACAACAAGGGACGAAATTTTTTGGGACTAAATGATAATTCCCTATTATTAATAGATTTCAATTAGGTTAACGAAACTAAATAAATCGACAATATTTCAATTAATTTCAGATAGACTTTTCAATATCAACAGTGACTTTGAAATTTAAGAGTTAAGTTTCAAATTCATTTTTATAGGAATTTAAGGAATAACCTTAATATTATTTAAGAATCTGGAGTTTTTTAAATTATTATTATAATTTTCTAAAACCACTTATGTTTCTAACTATTGAGATTTAGTCTAAGTAAATTATAATATGTTTTAAAATCTAAAAGGAAAGTTTTACAACTTTATTAAGTCCTTCATTTTTGGACATTATAAGTAAAGTAATTTGCACTCTCTCTCCTTTTGATTTTTTAACACATGATTTGTCTATTAATATTCCAACTATCGATATATATAATATACTCCAGTTAATACAATACAATTTAAATCAATAGTGAAGTTCAAAATATTATTATATCCTATAATTTATATAGAAGAATGCTATTTCTTAAACATAGGAGGATTAAATTAAAACAATATAACTAAAATATTGGCAGAATATTTAGAGATTCTAAACCTTTAACATTTAATTAGTATAAAATAATTTATTAACAAATTACAAAAGCACCTATTCAATATCAATTTTTGTTAATCAAACTTCTCTAAATGTGAAATTTTATAATTTACAGGTTGTATTTTCTTTATTGCTCTTCTTTTTATTCCTGTCATTGGAACTGTCTCAAAGATGTTGACTATTTTTCTTATTTCTTTTTCTGATTTTATTTATTTTATACATACTTTCAAATTTACCATGATTAATAAATAATGGTACCAACTATTTGCAGGCAATATCCTCTATCACTTGAACACCAAAAGAAACATCGCCATTTTCAAATACTTGAACTTCTTTATTTTACAAATCTATTTCCAATCCTTAAAGAATATTTATATCAATCTATCTAAGCTTTATATTTTACTGTTTTTGCTATGTTAAAATAAATCAAATTGCTATTATCACTCACTTTTAATGATTTGATTACACTTATATCAGCTGCTTCAAAATTTTTATCCATTAATTAATAATAAATTATTATTTATTTAATTTTTATTCAAAAGTATGTTAGACTTTCTTTTTTTTATTTACATTCTTTCAATATTATGGAGTTTTTTAAAGATGAAGCAGTTATTTAGAGATCAATTGAATTCGAAAAGCCATTTTAGTATCTCAAAGATCAAAAATAGACTCTAATATAAAGTCCCTATTCAAAGATTATTGTATATATAATAAAAACCCTATAATCTGATAAATCATATGGTTAAAATAACAATAAACACATAGAATTCAGTAACTAAACTATAATAAAAATTTTAAATGAAGTTATCTAAAAGAACATAAAAGAATGTATAACAAGCATGATTTATATTTCTTTTTCTTAAAAATCAAACAAAATGAATAAAATTACATAAATGGAATATAAAAGTTAATCAATCCTTAGTGTAAATAATACGCCTTATTAATTATATAAAAATAAAACCTTAAGATTTTTATATATGAACAAGATTATTTGATTATTTTGAACAAAAAAATCCCAGATGATCCATACTTTTCATGGATATATAGTTTGTTTATAAATTTTAGTAAACAACTTTTCATTTGAAGATTTGAAAGGATCCATAGAATAATAGTAATTTATGATGTTATTTATAGGAATGTAATTTTCAATCAATTCTATATTATGATTTGATGTTAATTTACTTAGCATTTTAATAAAATATTATTTGAAAATTAATTAAGTTCTGAAATGGAACTTAATCTAATAAAATATTTATTAAACAATATTTGAATTAAGAAATTGTACAAGAAATTAAAAAAATTGTAGTTAATTTAACTATCTTTTTGAATGATGTTAAAATTTGAATGTTATTAATTAGGAATGAAGCATGATTTTATTAAATGACGCATCAATTATTCTGCATTAAGAAATGATTATAATTTAGAAAATGATTTATTATAAAAATGAGTCAAAGGCTTGAGTTGCTCTAAAAATAGATGCCTAGCTTCTAATATACCGTTGATGGAGGGATTTTAACAAAAGAAGAAAGATAATTTTATGAGGAAAACGGTTTCTTAGTGGTTAGATAAATGTTCTCACCTGAAGAAATCAAAGAGTGGACTTAAAGATTCAAAGATTATGCAGATGGATAATTAGAACGCAAATACGGAATGTAAGTCGTAAGAGACATTTCATTGGTGAAAAGAGGGGGAGGAAAATAATGGGGAGAAGAAGCTATAACAAAAATATAGGACTGGTAAGAGGATGAAATATTATTCAAATTTTGCTAAAATCAAAAAGTTATCTAATATCTTAAGAGTCTCTGTGGACCTGATATTAAATCTGTTCACACAATGTTCATTAACAAACCACCAAATATGGGAAAGACTTCAAGACATCCAATTCACTAGGATCAAGTATATTTTCCATTTGGTCCAGCAGATAGAATAGCGGCCGGTTGGGCAGCTCTTGAAGATGCCAATAGAGAAAATGGATGTTTAGTTGTTTATCCTGGTACTCACAAAGGTAATTATGCTTCTGTATCATTAGTTGGTCCTGTTGAACATTGTTATCCTGATTGGAAAGAAGGAGTTAATAAAGCTTATTGGGGAGTTAAGGATATGCCTCCTGAATCTGCTCCAAAAATTCACTTAGAAATGAAAGCTGGAGATATAGTTTTCTTTCATCCATATCTCTTTCACGGATCAGGAGAAAATAGAGTATTTTATATAAAATAAACTTTAGTCAAGCAGTTTTAGAAAGTCAATTTGTTGTCATTTTGCATCTGCAAATTGCCAATACCATGATATAAAGGGAACTTTTCATGAAAATTTGGCAAATGACATCCTGGCATATGCTTCAAAGAAATTCGGCCATGCTGTCAATTACTTAGATATTTGGAGATTTAAATGCAGATTGGTATAAGGTAAACCTGATCCACTAGGATTGTGATAAAACTATTATAATCCAATATATATTTAATTTAATATTTCAGTCTTGATATTATTTATAAATATTGTAATCATATTTATGAATGCTATTAAGTTAAAAGAAAAAAGTCTTATGAATAATTTAAATACCCCCAAATACAATGAGTTACGGCTAAACAATAATAAAACTTACAGATTACTATTCACTAGAATTGAAAACATAGATAGTAATAATTTACAGAAAAAAATTAATTAAATTAATTTTATTTTTTTACAACAACTGCTCAAGAATAATATTATAATATTTTTTATATATATGTTACAATCATTTAGATATTTTATGCTAAATAATATTAACTATTGAATCGAATTAAGAATATTTTATTATTAAAATTGAAAAAACTTTTTAATATAATCTTTCCTAAGAATATTGATAGGGATTGTTGTAATCTATTAATTATAGAAGTTTTTAGACATGTAAATTGATTAATCAGAAAATAAACTAGATTTTTATATTATCTATGAGTTAATAATTATGAGTGATTCAATAAATCTCGATAATTTCACTAGTTACAATAATTTAGATAGTTAATTGTATTTCTACTTTAAAATTTCTAATAATTTTTATTATTATATTAAATATTAATATGTAATTGAAAAAAATTTTAAGATTGGGGATTTCAAAAGGCCTGAATTTTGAGCTAATTTGTTTTTTACCTTATGGCCTTTTGATTGGGAAAGACAAAAGGTTAGCAATAGCCTTCTGGGCTTTATTAATATTTGAGTTTTGCATTTGAGAAATAAATATATTATGATTAGAATTATCATATTTTAAAAATAAATTATACATATATATTAATTAACATCAGTATGATTGAATAGATTGAGGGTATAAATATAGCATTGGAAGGATGTTTTCATTGGCATTTCAATGAAATTTTTGAGACTATTAGAGAAATTGAAAAATTAAAAAAAAATAAAAATTGATTTGCTTTTAGTATCTGAAGTTGTAAAAACTTAAAGAATTTAATATAATATGTTCAATATGGCTTGTCCTGTAAAATAGTTGAAAATGAGAACATTCAATAAACAGTATGAAGGAAAAGAGAAGCCCCTTGTTTAAAAATATTTATCGGGGGTAATCATGAAACTTCAAACTATTTGAGAGATATGTAAATATATATTTTTAATATATTTAGGTATTTTGGAGGATGAATAGCTCTAAATATTTATTATCTTAGAGATACTATATCATATAAATTAAAAAAGATAATTGGGAAGAAGTTCAGGAATATTTAAAATTTTTGATTTCATAAATCCAAAATTAGCCATTTCCATATACAAGTGAAAAATTGAGTAATATTTATCATTCAAAATAAGTTGATCTATTTAAATTAAGTCTTTATGAAGGGAAAGTAAATATCTTTTAATACCACGATTGACCTTAACGTAAAACTAATAATAAATATAAGAGATATACTAATTTGGATCTACAAAAGAATTACTAAAAAGAAATAAAATTTTGAACCAGATATAAAATCAGGCAGCCTTGGAAGACAGGCTCACAATTATATATTAGAAAGATTGTAACCAAACTTTTGGTTTATTGTTCACATGCATGTTAAATTTGAAGGATTTGTGAAATACAAAAGTAGAAAGTAAACCAAGCACTAAAATCATAAAATACATGAAGTTTTAGTATCATTAGATAAATGAATTCCAGTAAGAGACTTTTTATAAGTTTTTACATACTCTAATTAAAGACAAGAGTTATATGAATAGTTTGCTTAGAATAATGAGTCAATTAAGTTATTTTATGATTCTGGGGGCTTTCATTAGTCTAAACTGCATTTAAATTATTAACAATACTGGATAATATGCCTAAATTATTGAGTATATAGATTAAGTATATTTTAAGATTATAAAATTATCAAAAAAGATAAATATAAAGAGTTCCTAAAAGAAGAAGCATGAAGAGATGAAAATTCTTGGATATCATAATATGTTAATTTCTAATAATTTTGAAATAACATCGTCTTCATATACAAATAAGACACTTTAAACCCCAAAGGGTTCTATTAAATAATTAAATGAAAAATTATCTAAAATTAGTTAATGAATCAAGATAAAAATCAAACGGTTTGATTTTTTATGAACCAGATCAACCTTGAATTATTGGAAAATTTGTGCCTCCAGATTTTCTACAAAAGAAAATAGTTAAAAAATTTAAAACAGATTTTATAATTGCAAGTTCTTTAACAACAATAATTAAAAGAACCTTCTCCAAAAAATGATGAGTTAAATATTTAAGACTTTACATTTTTATAATGAAATTTATATTAATAATAATAACTAAATTTAGTTAATCAATTAAAATGTAATAAAGAAATCTAAAATACTGAATTATATTGCGTATTAAATTGACTACATATAGTTATCGTTTAAATAAATTACAAATAATAAATTACTTATGATTTCACTAGTCGAATTAACTGAGCATAAAGCAACAAGGTCACATTCTCAATACAAATTAAATTTAATAGATTTCGACGACTTTGCCTACAATTTAAATAAAACTATCCATAACTTTTAAAAATAATAAGTTGGAAAACACTATGATAAATTATCTAAATTTAGAAAATCAAAGAGTGTTTTAAAAGTTCAGCTTCAAAAAAATAATCCATCCATTTATAAAACTTTTAATAGAAATGCTCCTGGGTTTGATGAAAATGAAACCAAAGAATTATTAGACCTTATCTTACAATTAGAATACTTATTTGTCCAATATAATAAATACTTTCCAGATCACAGTAACCCTCTTTTATTGAATAATTATCTAAACTGTTTGAGTTTAAACAAAGAAAGTATGAATTTTAAATAATTTATAGAATTTTTTGATAATTACAATCAAACTATTTCTGAAACTCTTTAAATGTCAATTCTAAGAAATTCTCAATAAAGAATTGTGGATGATATAACTGACGAAAACCTCATTAAGTTTTTGATCAATGAAATAAATAGGAGAAATAAATATGAAAAAAATTTAGATCTAATTAGAAGTGATTAAACTAAATTTAATAAACTTACCCAAAATTATGAATTATATAGAAAAACTAAATAGTTAGAACAAACTCAATCAAATCTTTTGGTAGCATCTATGAAACTTATATTTTTAAATGTAATATTTAATTCTATTAAATAGGACTAAAATTAATGGGTTAATGTTCGATTACCTTTGATTGAAAAAAATAAATAATTATATATTGATATGGAAAAAGTTATTAATTAAGGTGATGTTCATGATTTATTTAAATAATGGAGTCAATATATAGATATAGGATCATCTCATTCTGAGATAACTTTATTAATCTCAATAATTTAGGATCTCTTATAAGAAGAAAGTTGGATAATAAAATAAATTATGCAGTAAGTTTGTGGATAACAGGTATTGAAGTTAGAAAGGGTAATTTTATAAATAGGTGCTTTGAATTAGTTTTGTTCTAACTGTTTATCAGCAATGGATAGAAGTCATAATTAAATTTCAGGACTCTTACAGATTAAAATTTAAAATTTAATGCCTTTATTTATAATTAATAAGAATATTAAGATAGAAAAACAAATAATGATTATGCAAAATTCATAGGATGAATTGTCTAAAGCAGACAATAGAAATTCTTTAGAGAATTAATTATTATAATTACATAATGTAAAAATGTGTTTGATTCCTTAAGGATTGTTCAGTTAACTATGTTTCATTCATAGATATTGTAATGACAATATGAAGTGTGAAACTGAAAAAATTTCAGAATCTTCAGAATTCGAGCAACAGCAAGAATAGGTTTAACATAATATAAAATTTAAAAAAGAAATTATACGAATTCGATCTCGTAAAACCAGTTTGGTTGAAAAATAAGGACAGTTAAGTGAAAAGCCCATTTATTCATTTCTTTAATAAAAATTTTCTGAAATGAAATTCACTTTAACTATTTTTATGGATAACGTGGATAAAAGAGAATGGAAACAGATTTTTGAAAGTATTAAAGAAGAGAAAAAAGAATGTAAAGATTTTAGAAGTTCAAAATCGTAATCTTCAAATATTTCCTTTTAGTTAAACTAAAATGATGAAAATTTTATGAAATAGATGAAGATCTTCTTATAAAAATAATAATAAAAATACAATGATAATATTCTAATTACTTGAATAATGAAATTTATATTTGAAATAATTTATTTTTCTAAATTTGACTTTATTTTTTGAGGATAAACTTATTCATAAATAAGAAATTTTAATAATCATAGATTAAAAGATCATAATTGAAAATATACTTATTTTTAAGAATAATAAAAAGTTAAGATTTTTATTTATAATATCCAAACGAAACTTCCAGTTAAATATAATATAAAAATTAACTAAATTACTAAATGACATCAGTTTTGCCACTTGATCAAGAGACAAATTAACTAAACGCCTCTAGTTAACCAAATGAGGCCACAATTGATGAATATGATGAGTTTCGAAGACCTCCTATATTAGAAATATGCATCAAACATTAAGTAACTATTTTTAATTATTAAGTCTGCTACATAATTTGCTATAGCAGATGAGAAGATTGATTTAAATAAAAACAACTTATGTCCTTGTTGTGGATAACCAGTTATTCTTAATCAATTACCTTTAACAGCATCTATTTTAGATTTCAGTTTCAATGGACCTGGAGTTTCCCTTTATTTTGATTTTTTAGTGTTTAGCTCAATATTGATTTCTACATTTATGTAATAGATATAAAAATTGTATTAGAATAATATGTGGAATATATGATTTGATAGCAAGTTCTTTGGGAGATACATGCAAGAAATTGAATGCTATTGGTGAATTAGAATGTGTTGATAATTATTATAGCAAATTTGCAAAATCTAATCAAGATAATAGAGATCCAGATATTGCAGGGAGTGTATTAAACTTTATTACAACATTAATTATAATTGTGCTTTTGTTTTTATATAGGAAAAGAATTAATATATTGGCAAATAAAATTGATGAAAAGAGTATTTTGGCTTCAGATTATTCAATAATTGTTGAAAATATCCCAAGAGATGCAAAAGAAGAAGAGATTAGAGAATTCTTTAGCAAAATAAATAATCATGAATATAAAATAGAAAAGATTTGTATGGGATTTCAGATATAAGAATATTTGAGAATTTAAAAATAAAAGTTAGATCAAGAAAAGACATTTACTAAGATTTTAGAATGTGAGAGATTAGGTAAGCCTATTCCTCCTAAATTACCAAATAAGATTGATTTAACACAAACTTTAGATTAATTGGCAAATTAATTGAATTAATATGAAGAGAATTTTTAAAGTTCTTTTCAATTTAGTGGAGTGGCTATAATATCATATAATACTGAAGATGAAGCTAATGCTGTTTGCAAATTTTTTAGGGCTACTAGATTGCATCTTATTCTATCTTAAGTAATGAGAGTAATTGGAAAAAAGGATTTGAGAAGATTTAGAGATAATGTTATAGTAGTATCAAAAGCTCCTGAACCAGGAGATATTTTGTGGGGAAATTTGGGAGTCACTTTGTTAGAATAATATAAAAGAAAATTTATAACAAATTTGGCAACAATATTGTTGTTAGGAATTTGTTTTGGAATATTATTTGGTTTGTCTTATGGTTAATTTTCAATGAGTGACACAGAAAAAGGTTAAGAATTATCTTAAGCAGAATTAGTAGCTATTACAGTTTTAGGAGTAATTGCATCTGTGTTGATTTCTATTATTAATAATATTTTGGCTATAATAATTAGAAAATTTGCTGAATTAGAAGCTCCAGCAACTAAAACTGAATTTGATATCAGTGCAGCTAAGAAATTAGGTTTTGCCTAGTTTCTTAATACATCTATAATAACTTTAATTGTAAATTTGGTAATTGTCAAAAAAGGAGAAAGATCATCTTATGCTATAATCAAATAAGGAGGTTTGAATTAAGATGTAATGTTTATTTTCATAACAAATGCAATAATGCCATGGCTAACAAATTTGATTGACCCATTTTATTTGTACAAATTATTTATGAGATTTCAAATTCAATCTTAGGGATAAGCATGCAATGTAACTTAATAGGAAGCAAATGAGTATATATAATTAATTACTATTAAAGGTATTTTGCAGGTCCAATGATAGATTTATCAAAAAAATATGCACAATTAGGTAAAACCTTATTGTTTACATTCTTTTATGCCTATTTACTTCCACTTGGACCACTTATATCATTAGGTTCATTAGTGGCTATTTATTGGGTTGAGAAAATTTTATTGCTTAGACGAGATTCGAAGCCAGCTCCAACAGGAAGTGATATGGCAGAAGAAATGGTTGACTTTTTTGGAGAATTCACACTTTTGTTATATGCAGTATATAAAAAATTAATAAACATAGATTGGTTGTCTTATTTGGGAATCAATATTGAATTAAACTACATTTCCTTTGACATGGGTACAATTTTCAATATCTATAATAAATTTCTTAATTCCTATTGATACTATTTTTGATATGTTTTGGAAATCTGAAGATGTTTCAACTAAAGCACTTTATTAAAACGAATGTTTAAAATTTTGGGATGATTATGATAGAAGAAATCCAATTACAGCTGAGAAAGCTATTGAAACATTTTTAAAGAATACAAATGCAGCACCTTAATAATAGGTTGATGGAAGAGGGAATTATGTTCCATAGAATTTGGGATTGAAAAAATAAGATAAAAAGAAAAAGATGAAGAATAAATATAATAAGGAAGATTGAGACATTATTATTATTATTTTTACAAAGAATGAATTAATTATTTTTATAAAAGTATGAATCAATCATCTATTATTTTGGAAGAGAATAAATACCATTCAGCTTAATAAGAAGAAGAAGAACGTATGTTGACAGCAAAAGCATGTGATTTAAAGAAAGCATTAATTTATAGAAAGTTTTAATAAAATGAAAGAGAAGAAGAGTTAGAGGATATAAATCAGTTATTTGATGAAAGATAGTTAAATATTTTGAATGATCTTGCTAATGATAATGGTCATTATGAAGAATAGAATTAAATTACTACAATAAGGTAGGAAGTTAATAAAAAATTGTAAACAGTAATGGAACAAGGTCTAAAAAGGCATTCAATTTATATAGCCAAAAAACCAAAAGAAAAGAAATTTAGATTTAATATTGAAGTACTAAAACCAGAAGACAGATTTAGAATTATGTGGGATTTGTTCACTATGTTGCTTATTTTTTTTGCAATTCTAATTTTACCTCTTGATATTAGTTTTACAATTGAATCAGAGTTTTTTGATAACTTTAATTATGCCTCTATAGCTATATTCAGTTTAGACATTCTAATCAATTTTAATACTTCATATTAACAAAAAGGTTAATACATAATAGATCGTAAACTAATTGCCAAAAACTATTTAATGGCATGGTTTTGGATAGATTTGGGTATTATTTTAATTTATATTAGTCTCAACTTTTCCTTTTGATATAATCATTAATGCCTCAACCCAAGAAATAGTATAATCTGATGAAATTGATGAGACATAATATTCAAATAGTTATAATTAAAAAAATTAAGAACAATTAGCTAACACCTTAAAATTACTGAGAATTTTAAAAATTTTTAGATTTATAAAAGTTGTAAGATTACTAAGAGTATTAAAATTAAAAAAAATATTCTCAAAATTTGAAGATTATGTTGATTTTTCAAATTCAATGGTATCACTTTATAAGGTGTTAAAATTAACATTTATAATGCTATTTGTAGCACATTGGTTAGCTTGTATATGGCATTTCATAGCAGATTAGGAAAAGTCATCTGATGGTTATAGTTGGTTGACAGCTTAAGGTTTATAAGATAGCGAATGGTATGTTAAATATATAGCATCAGTATATTGGGCAACAGCAACTATGACTACAGTAGGTTATGGAGACATAACTCCAGTTACATCCGTAGAAAAGATCTTTGGAATAGTTGTTATGTTGTTAGCTTGTTGTATTTTTGCATATATTATGAACAGTATTGGTGGAATATTCGTTTCTATGGATTATAATGAGAAATTGATTCGATAAAAAATGGGTTAAGCTAATCAATTTTTAAAATCTAATGATATTCCTAAAGATTTATAAGCCAGAGTAAGAAAATATCTTGAATATAAATATGAAAAAGAATCCACTTAAGTAAATGAAAAGGAAGCTCTAGATGTCTTATCATATTCTTTAAGAGTTGAAGTATTGGCTGCTGTTAATACAGATTTAATCAATAATTCAAAGGTATTCAAATAGAATAGGTTTGAAAGAGAGTTATTACTATAATTACCTTTCGAATTAGAAGAATAAATCTTCGGTCCTGAGGAATGTATATTCTTAGAAGGAGATGATCCTATTGAATAAGAAAATGGATAAAACATAGAAGAGAGATGCCTATATTTTCTAAATCAAGGGTAGGTTATGCTTTGTATTTAAAAAACATTTACATGGTTAAAAACCTTAGATAAAGGAGCCACATTTGGAGAACTTGGATTCTTTAGTAATAAATCAAGAAGTGCATCAGCATACACTCTTGATTTTGTATATGTTTAAAAATTGAAAAAAAAAAAATTCACTGAAATTTTAAAGAAGTATTAAACTCAAAATCAATATTTTCAAATGAACAAACATATAATTGAATTAAATGAAGATTATTCTCCTCTTGGATTACCATGTTTTGGTTGTTAATAAATTAATCATTTTTCTTCAACTTGTCCAAAATTACATTTTGTTACTAAATATGATAGAAAATAAGAATTAATAATTGAATTATAACAAAAATAAAACAAATTTACTAAGGAATTTAAAAGACATGAAAAAATTAGATATAACTCAAGAGGTTGTTTTGCTCTTACTAATGAAGTTGCTAATGAAATCAAACAAGTTTATTCTGCATAAGAAGAAGGTGATGATGATAGATTAATTAAACTTTAACAGTAATTTAATTTACTAATTTAGGCGAAATGAAGAAGAGCCTACTTAAGAGGGTTTTGAAGTAATAGAGAATTAAAAAGAAGTTAAAAGTCAACATTAAGATGAATTTGAAAGAATGTATATTATGACTGCGTTTTTTACTCAATTCAACATAGATGAAATTATGAAAAATTACAACGAAAGAGTTGAAAATATTCTCAATCTATAATAATAAGCTTAAGAAAGAAGTATTAGAACTCAGTATCACTCTATTAAATCTAACACTAAAAAATCAAGAATTAGATCAATGTCTGCTGAGCGAGCTGTGTATTTTGAAAAACTTATTGAAAAATATGGAGGTCCTTCTTAATTCTTAGAAAAACTAAATTAAGATAATTGATAATTATATTATTTATATATATGCAAAATCTTAAACAATTGATGTATTTCAGATTTATTAGATGCCATCAAAATTGATAACTATTTTATAAAAATTAGGTAAAAGACTTTTTTTAAGATGTCTTAGATTAATACATAGATTGAATGCTATAATCATACTGCTGAACAATTTATAATTTAAATACATACGAATACATAAACATGAATTTAAAATATACTAAAAATTAATTTAGGAATATAAAGAAGGGTTATGAGAAAAAGTAATAATATAATTTGGAAATGTTTTACAAAAGATATGGTTTAAAAAGAAAATTTAGAAAATAGTATAGTCTTAAATGCATTTTCATGTATTGCTAAGCTCAATTAAATAGTTATTCGAAATTTAGCGATAGAATTCTTGAATATAGACCATAGAAACTTTTGGATATTACTAACTTTAAAAGATTAAATAATTTTTTTTGAAAAAATTGTAAATGTAAAGAACTTATTAAAAGTTCTTAGAAACTATTTTATCTTCCAAATTTATAATAATTATAATTATGAATTAAAAATGAAAGAATATATTGTCTCAATCAAATTTTTATGATTAGTAAAATAATGCATGCTTGAAAACAATTTAAAATATCAAAAGACTCCTTAAGATTATAAATAATATCAGAAAAATTATGATACTAGTAGGGAAAGCCATTTCTTTACTATAAGATGAGTTAATTTAAATAAAAAAGAAAAGCTCTTTTATGTTACAAGATAT